CTGTGAAGAGAAAGCAGAGTTAACATTGTGGGTCCAGTGACCCTTTTTTAAGAACTGATTGCAACTAGAAAAAGGTTGGTACTAATGCTGAAGGAGTAAACGATAATTGGAGATGGAACCCACAGAGAGAAAAACAGTTGGGCAGACAAAGGAATGGGTAAAGGTCAGCCTGGGAGAATGAATAGCTGACAGTGGGTTATTTATGGTAGTAGCACATGTGATGATTAGGCCTGGTGTGTGGAGGTTAGGGTAAGGAAATGGGAGAAGGCCCTCAAGTTATTGAACTTGACATTGAGTCCAGATGGTAGCAGGGTTCCCAAGTAGAAAATGAGGTGTTCTTCCAGCTTACGCTGAGCTTCATTGAAGCACTACAGCAAGCCGGAGACAGATGTGGGCCAGGAACATGGTGTATTGAAATGACAGGCAACTGGAAGCTCGGCCTCTTTCCAGACAGAAAGTAGGTGTTCTGCAAAGCGGTTGCCCAGTCTGCACTTTGTCTCCACAATGTAGAGAAGACCACATTGTGAGCAGCGATTACAGTAGATTAGATTGAATGAAGTGCAGGAGTGAAATGCAAAATGCATTTGCCTTCCTAATCGCCAACTGAACCTGCATGTTAATCTTAGTAGAATCCTGAACTAGAACTGAAGGATATGGGCCAAATGCTGGCAAATGGGACTGGATCAGTTTAGGATATCTAGTCGATGTGGACAAGATGGACCAAAAGGCCTGTTTCTGGGCTGTACAACTCTGACTCTGACTTGAAAGTCTTCAGATTTCCAAAGCCTTTCCCTGTAAGGAAAATAGTCCACACTACTTCCTACCAAAGTAAATAACAGTTGCTACTTTATTCCATCTGCCACTTCTTTTATCCATCTCCTAGCCCGTCCAAGTCCTTCTGCAGCCTCCCCACTTCCTCAACACTACCTGTCCCTCCACCTATCTTTGTGTCATCTGCAAACCTAGCAACAATGCCCTTAGTTCCTTTGTCCAGATCGTTAATGTATAATGTGAATAGTTGTGATCGGAAAGCTGACCCCTGTGGAACTTCACTAGTCACCAGCTACCATTCTGGAAAAAGACCTCTTTATTCCCTGCTTTCTGCCTTCTGCCAGTCAGCTAATCTTCTACCCATGCTAGTGCCTTGCCCCTAGCAGCATGGGCTCTTAGCTTATTTAGCAGCTTCCTGTGTGGCATCTTGTCAAAGGCTTTCTGGAAATCCAAACAAATCATGTCCACTGGCTTTCCTTTGTCTAACTTGGTTGTCACCTCCTCCAAAGAATTCTAACAGATTTGTCAGGCATGACTTCCCCTTGACAAAGCTGTGCTGACTCTACCCTTCTTACCATGCATTTCTAAGTATTCTGTAATGTCGTCCTTAATGATGGACTCTTAAAATCTTACCAACGACAGAGGTCAAGCTAACCAGCCTATAGCTTCCTGTCTTCTGCCTTGCTCCCTTCTGTGGTGTTACATTGGCCACTTCCCAGTCCTCTGCGACCCTCCCTGACTCCAGTGATTGTTGAAAGATCGCCATCAATGCCCTACAATTTCCTTAGCTATCTCCTTTACAGCTTGGGTGTAGTCCATCCAGTCCAGGATGATTTATCCACCTTCAGACTTTTCAGCTACTCCACACTACCTCCTTAGTGATGGCCTCTACACTCACGCCTGTCCCCTGAGTATCTTGAAATTCCAATGTGCTGCTGGTGTTTTCCACTATAAAAACTGATGCAAAGCACCTATTCAGTTCTTCCATCATTTATTTGTTCCCCATTACCACTACAGCCTCGTTTTCCAGCGGTCTGATGTCCATTTTTGCCTCTTTCCTTTTAGATGTCTTAAAAATACTTGTGCAATCTTTTATGTTAGTAGATAGCTTACGCTCATATTTCATCATCTTCCGCTTATTGCTTTTTTTTAAGCTATCCTCTACTGGTTTTTTTAAAGGCTTCCCATTCCTCTTTTTACTAATCTTCACCACACTATTTCTTTTGCTTTCCTGACTTCTGTTGTCAGCCATTATTGCCGCCGCCTCCTTGGGATGAATTTCTGATATGCCTCCAGAATTACTGCTAGAAACTCCTGTCATTGCTGCATCATCAGCTCCGGTTAGCTCCTCCCTCATATCTTTGTAGTTACCTTTACTCGTCTATAGTACCACTACATCGCTTTCAATTTTCTCCCCCTCAAACTGCAGGGTTCACCAAATTCTGTTTGAAGTCCTGTTCGGTTGTAATATAGTTCATGACACTCGGAATTTGTCAACGTATGGGCTGCAGTCAATGGGATTTGTAAATCTCTATTACATATGTAATTGGGGATCAGGGATGAATTCTGCATCCCTTTTGCTATTTTGGGACAGAGGTCACTGCCTTTCTTAAACTGATACTTAAGGCATGGATGCTGATTTTCTGTATCTGGATAGCAGGTAGCTGATTTGGATAAGAACCTTTTGGATTTAAATGACCAACTTCAGAGAGGTGGTTGCTTACACTGTTTCCCTGGTTCTACCATGGTGGTGGTTACTTGATTTCTTTGTGCTTGGAGGCCATAATTGGCCACTCTATCTTCCTTGATTTAATCAAAAATTTGAAGGCCCCATGGATGTGGTAACTGAATCATATTTGTGCACAGAAATATTGTACCACTGAAAGTGCATGTACCAACGGGATGACTGCAGTACTTTGATAATTTTACAGGAGTTGAGTTTGCATTTTTATAGCTGCTTGCTCATAAGTGGAGAAGGTGTAATTCATTGTACATAGTTCACTGCAAGGATTTATGACTGGTGAGGGTCATGTAAATGAGCTGAACATTGAATATAGCTTTTGAACTTGGGTATGAAATGAAAAGCATTTTCTTAAGTGTGGCTTATCGTTGTTAGTTATTACATTTGTTTTAATGGTTTACTTAAGTGCGCAAAACACATTTGACACTTAAATCTAACTGCTGCCTTTAGAAAAAAGTTTCCATAATTAAAGCTGACATACAAAAGTGAGAGACACTTCATGCTAGTATTCTTAAAGAAACATTGCCCAGTATAGAAAAGCATATGAACAAAAAATTGAGCTGAAGGAAAGAAAATGGCTTTTGCAGATAGTGAGAAAATTGGTATTTATAGCAGGGTGTGATCTGGATATTGTTACTGAATGCAGACAAGGAACAAGAGTAGGCCACAGTGCTTCAAACCTGCTCTGCCATTCAATATAGTAGTGGCTGACTTGATTTTAACCTTCATTCTACATTACTGCATACCCCAATAATCTTTTTAGAACCTTGATGACCAATGGGACAATCTGTGTCTGCCTTAAAAATGTTTAAAGATTCTGCATCCTCTGCCTTTTGAACACGAATGATGTGAGCATATTGAGTTGTGTGGCTGATATTTTTGTATAAAAGGACAATTTTTAAAATATGCTTTTGTGCTATCAAGCGCTTATTATATGAAAGGCCAGGCAGCATCACAGGAGCAGGAAAGTTGATGTTTCGGGTCAGGACCCTTCTTACCTGAAACGTCAACTTTCCTGCTCCGCTGATGCTGCCTAGCCTGTTGTGTTCCTTCAGCTCCACATTGTATTATCTCTGACTCCAGCATCGGCAGTTCTTACTGCCTCTTTTATTATGTGAAATAAGTGTTATCGCAGCATGCAACAATGTTCATGTTCTCATTAGCTTATCTCTAACCCAAATTTCTGTTGACATTCTATTCCTGCGCTTGGCTAAGTGTTTTGAGATTTTTGTTATGTGAAGTAATATAACTGAGTGGCATGTTTCCTGCCTGCATCTCCGAGTTTTTTTTTTGAGTTCTGCATTGCACTTTCAGTAATCAAATAGCAATAGTAGGCGTGAACCATGAATCCTGATTTGGTGGAACTCCTAGCCAACTGTATATTCTAGTCTTTTGTTTTCCAGCTGTTTTATTAAACTAATCATAGCCAGAAGCTCGGGTGACATCAGGATGAAAGATTTTTCTTTCTTTCACGCTCGAATTGTGAGAGATTGATCATATATGACTGCCTACATCTCTGTCCAGAACTCCTGTGAAAAAAATGGAGCTTAATTTTTTTTGTTAGTTTTCAAAGAAACGTCTCTGGATAGTTTATGCAGTTTTTTAGCATCTGATGCACCTGTTAGAACTATAAACTCCTACCCTCATCCTCTGTTCTCAACAAAGCACAATGATTCTGTTGCCATCGTTAAAGCAACTTGAAAATTACCAGTGTTCAACAGTGATGAATGCTAGTCTATCCGAGATACAAATTAGCCTGAAAATAATTGACACGAAATACTGCAAATTGATCAAAGCTTGGTGTAAATTTGTTGTTAACTTGCAGCTATTGGGAGGGTTGGAAGAAATCTCATCATACAGAAATCAAAAGTCTTGTAGTCACAACTTTTTAATTTCTACAATGCAATATCCTCACAGTTGACAGACATTTGTTGCTTAAATCTAATTTTTGTCTTTAGGGAAAATTTCCATTGTTAAAACTGACACTCATAAGTGAGATACACTTCATGCTAGTTTACTTAAAGCAAGGTTGCCCCGTATAGGAACAGCATATCAAGAGAAGTTTGGACTGGAAAAAGGAAAATGTCTTTCACAGAGCACGAGTAAGTTGGTGCTTGTTGCAGGGCGTGGTTTGGATATTGTTATTTTAAGTTTCAAGGTACAATTTTATATTTCTGTGTAAATCTCATTTTTAAAATCGCTTTATGGTAGTGAGCATTTAATTACATGACGAAATATTATTACAGCATGCAACAGTATTCTTATGGTCTTTGTGAGCCTGCCTCTAACCTAAATTTTTACTGGTGTTCTGTTCCTGCACTTGGCAAAGTGCTCAGAATGCCACAGTTGCATGTTTTCTACGTTGTATAAAACAATTCTAATGTCAGGAATCCATGCTTTTTCTTTTTTTTGGAGAAGAAGACTTATCCTTTTTAACTTAACTTGATCTAATTGAGGAAAATTCATGCCATCTCTCGTCTCATTTTAGCCACAACACAAGACAATCTCGATGACAAACTACGTAAATTTGAACTTAGAGACATGATGGGGCTGACAGATGACAGGGACATTTCAGAAACTGTCAGTGAAACCTGGAGCACTGATGTCTTGGGAAGTGATTTTGATCCAAACATTGATGAAGATAGACTGCAAGATATTGCAGGTATGTAATTAACAGTTGATGGTGAATTTGTACTTCAACATTTCTAACGTTATTAAGAGATTCGAAAGGGTTTACCGACATCGCTAAGATATGTGAGTACGTAGCCTTGTAAGCACAAAATATTTTAGCATGTTAATTGATGTGTTTTCAATTTACTAAATAAAAACAGAACACTGAATTACATTAATTAACTCAATACTCTTAGTAAAGAGGCGTGGTAAAATTTCCAGTCTAGTGCATGATAAATATCAAGTGATTAACAAACAGTTATGTGCCAAAATATGTGCTCATAATGTAAGCAATTATGTTCAGTAGAATCGTCTTGGAAAAATACTCCGTGCTTTATTCACTTCTAATTTTCAAATTACTGCAAAGTATCAGCGTTGTCACTTTGTTTTACCAGTTGTTTAAAAAAAAAATTATCCTATAGTAAAACTGTTCGATGGCATAATAAAACTGGCAGCTAATGATACTATGGTGACCTTTTTAAATGCACAATTTGTAAGCTTGCTGTATCCTGAAATCCTCTTTGATAGATGTTTTAATCACCTTGTACTATTTTTAAGCAAATTGAATTTGGTGATTCTGTTGTCATCTCAGGTTGACGGTTCATTTGTGTGAAATTGGTAGGGAGTATTGAGAGAAATCAATTGGATAAAATCCAAGTACTGCAGTGAAAAATATATATTATGATATTCATTTTTATCTTTCAGTTGAGAGGGCAGATAGGATATGGCCATCTTTAGAAGAGTAGGGAAGTTCACCTCTATCCATACCGTATCAGTGAAAATCATTGGCTATTACTACTGCGTGAAAATTTGTTGTATTTCCCTACATTGTACTTCACAACTATTCCATTAGCTATAACGCACTTCAGCTGCTGAGCTATATGTTTGTACTCACAAGTTTGTTCTTGATCCAATTTTCCTGTGCCATCTGATCTAATTTCAATTTCCCTCCACCCCATTGACTGAGCTACCAAGCAGATGACTGGGAAGCTAGCCCTGGGGGTGATGCATCAACTGATTTAAATCTATTTTCCTCTGCACACTTCACATCGGAAATAACAGGCAGAGGTACAGTTTCCCTCTTAAAGACTGTATTGAAATACTGAACAGCTGTGCTGCTGTGGTACTTCAATATGAAGAATAGCTGTCACTTCTGACACCCTGCAAGGTTCACATTGTTCATGCAGACACCGGGAGAACTTGCAAACCCCACAGACAGTTGACCGAAAGCGGAATCGGACCCGGTCCCTGGTGTTGTGAGGCAACACAGCTAACCACTGAGTCACTGTGCCGTGTGGGATGCAATGACATCACTGGTAGTACTGGCAGAGGTACAGTGTGTGCAAGTTTTACACCTACATACTGAGAACATTTTGGGGGTGTGAAGAGGCAGTTGGATGAAAAGCTAAGCATAACATATTCTAAATTGTAGATTTCAGCCTTACACAAAGTAAAATCATCTTTGTTAGTGAATATTAATGAAAAGTTTTTCATGTAACTTTTTTTTAAGACATTGTATTAAAATACAACTGTCATTTGCCAAATCCCTGCAGTGTGATTGACCTTGGTTCTTTCTCATTTGCATCCAGCATTTTTCATGCTTTTCGATTGTGTTTTGGGATGCTTATATCATTAACTGAATTTGCAGCAATTTCCTTGTTTCTCTAAGGAATAGCATTATGAGATGCACATTAAATCTCCATTAATACCTCATTATCCCAGTGATAAGATTACCATGATAATGAGGCATAAATTCTAATTGTTTCAGATCTTGTTGTGCCTCTCATTTAATCATATACCTGTATTTGTCTTCAGTAAGCTTTAAATTGGGAGTGCTCCTAGTGACCAGAAAATAATGTTCAAGATGCTGAAAGCAGATATTTTATTGAAAATGTGAATAAAAAGTGATGGAAAAATAAGCAGCAGCTGCTTTGAGATCCAGGACCGTTTTTTAAAAAAAAAAAATGGAATTTACACCAATTCAAATTTAATGTGCTGAAATACTTAATATTCAAAGTAGTTTCAGAACTGAGGAGCAATCTAAGTGAAAGATGAGGCCAAATCAACTAGCATTCCCAATGGAATTGGGTCATGTTGCAACCCAATCAGACAGTTTTATGTACCACCTATGATGGCAGAAACTTACTTGAATTTTCTATGAAAAATAGAAACTGGAGACTAAACGTTGTAAGGTGAGGAAACACAGTGGAAGAAAAATAGTAACAAAAACAAAGTTGCTGGAAAAGCTCAGCAGGTCTGGCGGCATCTGTGGAGGAGAAAACAGTTAACGTTTCGGGTCTGGTGACCCTTTCTCCGAAGGTTCCGAGGAAGGGTCACCGGACCCGAAACGTTAACTCTGTTTTCTCCTCCACAGATGCTGCCAGACCTGCTGAGCTTTTCCAGCAACTTTGTTTTTGTTCCTGATTTACAGCATCTGCAGTTCTTTTGGTTTTTAATTGGAAGAAAAATAGTGTTTGACAAATCTGTTAAGAGTTTTTTTAGGATGTAAATTAGTCAGGACATGGAGGCAAGATAAAAGCAACCAGCAGATGTGATGTACTAAAGTCTTCAAAGCTCTAGAAAGATAATGCACTAAAGATTATTGGGCAAAATCACGGATTGTGGAACACCTGCACCGAACCACTGACCACCCCACTCTTACACCAATCCATTAGCCATCTGTATGTGCCAGCCACCTGTGCCCACCTTCCTCCAGCCCTACCCTACCCCATTGCCAGCATGACCCATTTATCATCTTTGCACTGTTTGCAAAGAGGCTTTGGATCTTGAAGTGCTAAATTATGGTTGTTACTGCTATTTAAAACAAAAAAGTGGTTTGAAGTCCAGTGCTGATCCTGTGCTGCTGTGGAAGCCTTCCTGAACAGTTGAGTTCCATGATTCTCAAGTAGCGCAGCTCTGAAAACGAGGCCAAGGAAGTACAGGGCTCTGGACAGTGTAAATAAAAAGTTGTAGAATGACAATCTGACTGAGATTGCTGCTGTTCTGAAGATTTGCCCCAAATCTACTTTGAAACTTAGTAAAAATTATGAATGTTATTAAATTTATTGAGCTTAATTGTGTTTAAAATATTAGTACAATTTTAATACTTATTGTAGCCTGTTGTAATCAGGGCTTGGTGCAAGTTACTGTAATTAGTGGCAATAAATAAACAAGTATAAACACATTCTGACCATACTGGGGAAATGATTTTGTCCAATTATGATTTTCTGACTTGAGAACTGTTTATTTGTCTTTAGTATGTACTGGTAGAAAATAAAATATGTAAAAGCAGGTGTGCTGGTCATACTGTGAGCTGAGGATTGGATGAATTTGGGTGGAGTGAGGACAGAATTAAGTTTCCTCCAAGCATGGGAGCTTCAGAACTAGTCTATTCATGGAATTTAAGTGAAGGGAATTTCTGAAATTCTCTAGAACCAGTGATTTCCTTTTACACTTCAAAAAAAAACTATTCTTGTCTGTATTTTTTAAAAAAGTTTTACCCACCTTTTGTGTCATGGCTAGAAATACTGTTTTCATGTCTTGTACCTTTTTTAAAAAACAAAAATTGGTTTAGCTGCAGAGATTTGTCCAGCCTCAGTGGTAGGTGGTGAGACCTAATCCACCCCTCATTCAATTAACTATTGCTGTAAAACTAATCCCAGATTGCCAAACATCCTTTCCAATGTATGGTACAGCTATTATTCCTTTGTATAACATTTAATTCAGTTTAACTATAAATGTCTGATCCGAATGAATTGAAAGTACAGTGGGTGTGAGCGGAAGTGGACAAAAATAGCACTCGATGTTTCTGAATTCAGATTGCTGTGCAGTTGATTTGAAACACCCAGAAGTGACTAGTTGGGGAGAAAATAGTTTCAGAATTCCAATGTTACTGTCTCGTAAGGATTTCATAAATTGTGTTAAATGGGTCCTGAAGAAAAATGATATAGCATTTCTCTCATTATATTCTTAGCAATTGCATAACCTATCCTCAGCAAAACATCTGAAATATAAATATGATTAAAAACTGATCATTATTATGGTAGCTAAGATAAAGAAAATTTTTATTGTTTTGTAGGTGCAGCAGCAGAGAATATGCTAGGTAGTTTACTTGGTTTACCAGGTTCAACTTCAGTACTACTGGATCCTTGCACAGGGTCAACGATTTCTGAGACAACAAGTGAGGCTTGGAGTGTGGAAGTTTTGCCAAGTGACTCGGGTGAGTGTGCCATATTCTTTTCTATATTTTTCAAGTATACCATAATTAAAAGAATAGATAAAAATTGAATGAAATATTCCTGTGACTACTAGTACATTCACTTGCAAGTTCAATATAACTTCAAATGTTTAATGTTTGTGAAAAGATTGACTCTGACTCTGAATCTGAGCTTTGAGCCTGTGATTATTTAAGTCTATTTATGAATTTGACTATCCATCCTATTTTGGTGCACTGGAGTATTGTTAAGACCCATGTATTATGGGCAGGGGAGTTGAATTGATTGAGCTTATGCTCCTCTTCTGTCCAAACTGAAGTAAAAGTGCACTGTCTTGCTGAGAAAATTAGGAAGCAACTTGGTATCCCATACATGTTTGCACTGATTTTAGTTTAGTATTCTAAGCCAATTTGCATATTGTAAGATGGCTGTATGCTTTTACCTAATTTAAAGTAAATTGGCTTCACACTGCCTTGGGAAAGAAACAAATCTGGCAAATTGACAACCACCGATGCTTGTATCTAAAAGGTTTTGAACCAGATGTTTGCCTCTTTTATCCAAGTGTATTATAGGTAAAGAGGCAAAATAGTAAATTTACAGAAGCACAACAGAATATAAATTTAAAACTCTGGTTTTGATTTACAATTATGAAAACAAGTACAAAAACAAAAATTTGCTGGAGGAGCTGACCGGGTCTGGCAGTACCTTTGGAGAGAAAGCAGAGTTAATGTTGTGAATGGGGTGGTGGAGAATAGGGAAGGAATAAATGGGTAGGTGGTAATAGAGCCCAGAGAGCAGGGAGACAGGTGGGCGAAGTGATGGGTGATAATATGCCAAGGAGAAAGAGAAGTTGATAATGATTTAAAAAGTAGCTGATAGATAAAAATGTGCTGAAAGCAGCCTGTCATGACAAGGGCCTGGGGTTTGGGAATGAGTAAAGGATGTAGATGATGTTTAGGTTCTAAAATTATTGAATTCCATGTTGAGTCCTGAAGGCTTCACTGTCCCCAATCAGAAAATGAGATGCTGTTCTTCCAGCTTACACTGAGCTTCGCTGGAGCACTGCAGCAGACCCAAGACCGAAATGTTAGCCAGGGAGCATGGTGCTGTGTTGAAATGATAGGCAACTGGAAGCTAGGATTCGTTTTGTGGACAAAATGTAGGTGTTCCACAAAGCAGTCGCCCAGCCTGCGCTTTGCCTCCCCGGTATAGAGGAGACCACATTGTGAGCAGCAAATACAGGAGAATGGATTGAAGGAAGTGCAGGTAAATTGCTGTTTCACCTAGGTGTATCGGGAATTTTGGCTTGTGAAGAAGGTGGAAGTAAATGGGTACGTGTTAAATCTTCTGTGATTGCATGGTGAGGCACACTGGGAGTGGAGGAAGAGTTCACCAGCACGTCCCAGGGGAACAATCTCTCAAATGTTGACAAAGCAGGAGGAGAATATGTGTCACATGGTGGCATCCCACTGGAGATACAGATCGCAAGGAAATGGTGGCTTCTAAGTATAAATATGGAAATAAGCACCTTTACTAAAAAGTGGTTACTGTTTGGTGGAAATGTAGACGTGACCTATTTAATGCACTACACTGAATAATGTGGGGAGACCATTACATAATTTGGACCTACTTGTCTACGGCAATATTCTGTCAGCTGATGTTTTGCTGTATGTATTGATGCTGTTGCTCTTATTGTCAAAGGGTTAACAGGAGCATACAAGAAGGAATTTGCATCAGATGCAAACATAGAACATTAGAGCAGAAAGAGACCAATTTGTCCATCTTGTCTGATCTACCATTGAATAAAATTATGGCTGCTGTATTTGTGTTTCAGATATCCCATCTATCCTTGCCAACCAGAATCTATCCATCCAGTCTTAAAAATATTTAATGACTCTGCTTCCATTGCTTTCTGTGGTAGAGTTTTCCAATGTCCCACAACCCTCAAACAAATTGTCCTCATCCAAAAGTTGGTAAATTGAGTGTAATATGGAATATTGAAGTAGTTCATTTTGGAAAGGAGAATAAAAGAACAGTATTATTTAAACAGAGAAGAAGCTGCAGAAAGCTAAAACACAAAGGGACTTGGGTCTACTTGTGCACAAAACACAAAGTTAGCATTTGGATGCAGCAGGTAGTCTGGAGGGCCAATGGAATGTTGGCCCTTATTTCAGGGGGTTGAAGTATCAGTCAGAAGTCTTATTGCAACAGTACGACGTCTGGAGCACTGTGAGCAGTTTCGTTCCCCTTACTTAAGGAAAGATTTTTTTTTTATTGGAGGCAATTCAGAAAAGTTTTACTGATCGCAGTATGGAGGGATTGTCTTGTGAGCAAAAGTGAAACATGTTGGGACTCTATAAATGAAATTTAGAAGAATGAGATGTGATCTCATTGAGACAAATAGGATTCTTAATGGGCTTGACAGCTAAAATGCTGAGATGTTTTCCCTCATGGAAGAGTCTAAGACCAGAGGACATAGTCTCAGCATTAAGTGGTGCCCATTTAAGACTGAGATGAGGGAGAATTTCTTCTCTGAAAGCTGAGAGTCTTTGGAATTCTTTGTCACGGAGATCTGTGAGGCCAGAGTTGTTGTGTATTTTTAAAGCTGAGATTGATTTCTCAACTAATCAAGAATCTAGGGTTATGGGAAAGGACAAGAAAATGGTCTGAGGAATGTCAGATTTCTGCTCTAAAAGAGTGACTATTAATGTTAAAACCTATTTCTGGGCTAACCCACAAGATATATCTTTCCACATTTACCTTGTCAAGACTATTCAGGATCTTCTACACTTAAATCAAGATATCACTGTCTTCTAAACTCATTGAAACAAGGCCAGCCTGTCTGTCGTACTCTTACCTGGAATGAGCAGGTTGTCTGATATCAGTCTAGAACCACCCTTAATGTATTTGCATCTTAAAATAAGGAGACCAAAAGTGCACATGGTTTTCACGATATAATCTCGCGAATACCCTGTTAAACTGAAGCATAACCTGCTTACTTTTGTGTTCAATTCCTCGAGCTGAAGGATAGCACCCCATTTTCGATTAAACTTGTCCTTCTTGATTAAACATTGTCCCTGCGTGCTCTTTTTGTTTTTTTTTGTGACTGATGCACCAGAGCTCCCAAATCTCTTTATACCTTGGATTTCCGTAGTCATTCCTTAAAGTAATTTTTTTAATTCTTACTACCAAAACAAATAATTCCACATTTTTCCACTCATCCGCCAGACTTTTGCCCACCCACTCACTCAACCTATCTGGATCCACCTGCAGCTTCCTTATGTATTCACAACACTCCGTTCTTTCTTGCTTGCGAGTGTGCATTTTGCTTTTTTACCTAATTTGGTGTCATCGTGCCTTCTTTCTGCTGATATAAATATTTGATATAACTTGTAAAATATTGATGTGCCAGCATAGAATCCTTTGGGATTCCATTCATTTCAACCTGCTTATCAGACAAAACCAGATTTATGACACTTTTCTATAAGCCAGCCAATCTTCTGTCAATGCTACAGTGTTACTCCTCACACTATGATCTCTTATTTTCTGTAATATTCTTTGATGTGGTACCTTGTCAAATGCCTTATGGGACCCCAAGTATAGTGTGTTTACAGGCTTCCTTTTTTTCTAAATCATGTTAGTCCTTCAAAGAACTCCAATAAATTAGTTAAAAAAGATTTCTCTTTGAAATTGTAATGATTCTTTGTAATTACTTTGAGTTTTTGAAGTAGACAGTTGTAATCTCTTTGATTTGAACGCCTTCCCTACAACAGATACCATGTTACCTGAACTATAGTTTCACATTTACTGCCTCCTCCTTGAATAGAGGGTTTATATTTACTCGTTACCAGTCTGGTGGAACCTTGTTTGAAAATTTAACACTAGCACAACTATTACCTTTTCAAAAACCTCTTTTAAAACCGTAGGATGAAATCTGGCTGCATCTGAGACTTGTTAACCTGCAGCAACAGCAGTTTGCTTAGTCGTGCTTGCCTGGTGATTTTATAATTTTGCTAAGTTTCTCTCTACCCAGGTTGCTACTGCCTATCTGATTTCTCCAGTTTATTTGTAGATTAAAGTCATTCATGATTATTGCCACCCTTTTATCATAAGCACCCAACATTTCTTCTTTGCTCCACAATATTGTTGCTATTAGGGGCTTCTGCTTTTCCTACAATTCCTCACCTCCATCCAAATAAATACCACGTCCTGAACCAAGATTATCTTTAACTAACTGTTGCACAGACTCCATCCTTGATTAAGGTGCAGCCCATCCATTTTAACATAGCTGTCTCTTTTTCTTGAATGTCATTTACCTCTCAATATTCAGGACCCAATCCTTGTTAACCTGAAGCCCTGTCTTCATAGTGCCTATCAAATTCTATTTATTAACTTCAGAATGAACGATCAATTCCTCTGCTATGAATGGTGCGTGCATTTAGATAGAGCCTTTAGTTTAGCATTTTTCTTGTCTTTCTAACATCTAGCCTTGATTGGTGTTTTCGAATTTATTCCTCTCTGTCCCATCCTGCCATTCTGACCCCCTTTTCCCATGTTATTATTTACCCCTCAAGTCCCTACTTACTGATATACCATTTCATTGCATATTTGACCCCTTGCCTGCACTACTTAGTTCAAAATCCTGTCTACTTCCCCGGTTGTGCACTTTCCAACACTGACCCCAGCATGGTTCACGAACATAAGAATAGGCGCATGAGTAGGCTATTCAGCCCCTCACCTGCCCTACCATCTGCCCCAGGCTCAACTCCTCTTTTAAGCCAGCTACTCATAGCCCTCCAGTCTGATATTTCAAAAAATCTATTTCCACTTTTATACTGTTTTGTGAGAAAAGCCCCCCGCTGAGGTAGAGAATTCCAAATATTCACTACCCTCTGGGCGAAGAAATTCTCAGTTTTAAATGAATATGCCTTTATTCTGTGACTTTGACTCCTAGCTTGAGATTGCTCCTGTAGTGGAAACACCATCTCAACATCTACTCTTTAAAGCCCCCTCAGAATCTTGCATGTTTCAATAAGATTGCCCTTATTCTTGTAAATGCTAATGAATAAAGATTTAGCCTGTTTAATTTTTCATGAAGAATCAATCCCTTCACCCTATGGAATCGGTCTAGTAATCTTATTGTGAACTCATCCAGTCCCAGTACATCCTTTCTTAAATACAGGGACCAAACTGTGTACAGTATTGAATGTATAACGTCACCAATTTGCTGTACAGTCGTAACAAGACTTCCCTATTTTTTTAAAATGCAGTCCCCTAGCAGTGAAAGCCAAAATTTCATTCAGGTATACATGATTCAGTGGTACAGCTGCCATTTACTTTAGCATTAGTAATAGTGGCTGATGAACCAGAAATCATTCTTCCCACACCAGGCTCTGAACTATGGATTTATCCCTTTACTTTATGTAACCTGTATGTGCTTCATGTAGTAATCCAGAGATTATAATCGTCAAGGTTTGACTTTTTCAATTCAGGACCTAGCTCCTAACACTGTCTACTTCCTTTCCTAGTTCTACCAATGTCTTTGGCATTTTACCCTCCCTCTCCACTGCAAGTTCCTTTCTAGCCCTGAGTGGATGTCCAGAACCCTGGCACTGTGGAGGCAATGCAGCTGTCTGGACTCTTGCTTTTAGCAGATCTCTAAATCCAAGATAACAAATTGCAATTCTTTGATTGACTCATCTTCCAAGACGCAACTTTTCCAGGGAATAAATGGGGAGAGAAGAAAACAAAAACAAGGTTCTCTTGTGAATCACCTGCCTTGGAAAAATGTAATGGTGGGGGGAAAATAATCTGTTTCTTGTTTTTCAGAAGCTACAGATTTGAAACAAGAGGAGCGGTTGCAGGAGCTGGAAAGTTGCTCAGGATTGGGTAGCACATCTGATGATACAGATGTGAGGGAAGTGAGTTCACGGCCCAGTACACCTGGTCTCAGTGTTGTCTCAGGTACAGGACAATGGAGCACTATGAATAATTGTTCTTGATCTAAAGTAAATATTTTGCAGAAGCTTAAAATGGTTCTTGATGAAAATTGTAGCAGTTTTTATGTGAGGTGACATTTTCTTCATGAAATACGTTCACAATACTTCCTTTTTGGAACTAATGCCTTTTTGGCTTTTTACGCTATTTAACAGGCATGAGTGTCACTTCAGAAGACATACCCAACAAAGTTGAGGATATCCGATCAGAATGCAGCTCTGATTTTGGAGGGAAAGATTCTGTTACAAGCCCTGAAGTGGAGGAAATTGTACAAGGTAAATAAAAATGTTTTTATATATGTCAACACATAAAAATCCATTCTCATGAAAATGGGGGGGGAGGAGAGGAGGAGTGTGCTGCTATCTTTCCATAGCTAACAATTTCTGATATTGTGATTGTGAGCACTTAAACTTTTTCAAATATGTTCTCTGTTGGATCTCCCACTCACTTATGGTGACATTTGTTTACTTGGGAAGTTGTGGCAAGGATTGTATTGTTCTTGAACAAGTTACTTTGCTCATTTACTAATTCAGAGCACCAGGTGTTGGGCAAACTTCAGTTATATGCATTTTGTAATATGTGCATGTACATGATGCAAATTTATGCATTGTACCTATCTCGCAGTACCAGAACCATTAATGTCTGCGGCTTCTTATTTGACTGCCCACAAAAAATAGCCAGACAGCTCGTGGTAGATTGTCTTGGGGGCTGATCTGTATGGTAACCAACTCGAACATTCATTATGCTTCAAAATGTATTATTCAAGCAAATGTATATTCAGTAGTTAATCTGACTTACCATTATCTTTTCATTGTGGATTTACAGGTGCACATCAGATGACTTCTCCGCTTTCCCAGACAGACACGTTGCTTGCAATGTTTGACCCGCTGTCTTCTGATGGTATGTTCAAAGTGTTTTCAGTGCACCCAGTACTGTTATGGATTTGCCATAAGTTTTTTTTCGTGATTGTGGGGAAAGGTTTGCTGCAACATGATTTATTGTGACGTATTTTCCTTTATTTCTTTTTGTTCTCTACCCACCCCTAAAATTCAACTGTCAAAACCAGCAAAATTATTCAAATACAAATGGAATGCCAGAAAACAATAGATTAAGCACACTGTGCTTTGATGGGAAAAAGCTCTGATTGATTAATTGGTGCTTTTGTTTCACATTTGGGCCTATTTACAGATTCTTGCACCATGTCCTCATTTGCAAAGGTGTAGACCTTTCCTAATGTTGTTCTTCACTGGACAGTTCAAGGTGGAATGGAGAAGCACTGAATTTTCAACTCACTTAATGTAATTTCTCTTGGTTAGCACTTCGCTCCTGCTTGGTGCCATTCCTAATGACCTGGCAGAAATTGAGAACTTTGGACATGAGGAATCAGGGCTCCTGGGTGCTGCTATTCCATGGAACATGAATACAGTGTTTGGCTGTAAAGTAGAGAGATACAAAGTTAATACTCATTGTCCAAGTTGAATAATAATACAATACTTATTGTTAGAGTAACAGACACAGAATAAATATGGGCTTATTTGTCTATGCAGAGAAATACAAGGGACTGCAAAAGGCTTCTGGTTAGGACAAAAGAGCCTTTCAGTCTCAAAACCTTGAGGTGGTTTTGAGAAAGACTGTTGATTTAGCTTTTACATATCCAGCTTCGACTTGAATTTACAAATACAGCATGTCCATATTTCCTCCCTGAATAGTCCATTCCATGCATAGACAATCCAATTTAAAAATTGTTGTTTAAAACTGTTTACCATTAGTTCTTCCTTTTATAAAGTTTGTGACAGAAATAAACTCATTATTGTAATTAAGTTTAAATTGTTTGGTGCAGAAGATATGAATATGTTAGGTCTTATATTTGAATTCTTGATTTCTGAAGTTGTTCCTTGTGCTGAAGCGCAAGAACCTAGTTAACAAATTTAGTAATGTTTTGTAGTACCTCCTTAAAATTTGGAATTTCTTTACTGCAACATGATTTGGCAACTAGAATTAAATACATGGGACCTGGGCTCTAACTCTTAAGGACCTCACCTTGCCACCTTTTACCACTGCCACACAGCTTTCTGATGTCAACAATTTATCTGTTTTGGCAGTGTATCACCCACATTCTTCCAAGAACTCTAACCTCCAACAAAATTTCAATGAAACACTTCTAACATTGTAGAAAGCAGGAATTAGCAGCTGTGAAGTTAACAAGTACAGAAATCTGACTGCGAAATCAAAATCTGAATGTTTTGGGGATGCCTAGGATAATTGACATGTCCAGACAGCTTGTGGGAGATTATCTTTCTCCTCTTATCTTCACAGATTTCTCACTGCATTTGTCCTGTGAAATTACATTTTTATATTTCTCAATCCATCCTAACCTGATTTCTTGCTTTCTAAGTCTATTTTGCAGATCTTGATAGCGCACACCACTGCCCACCGCCCAGGCCCCCCCCCAAAAAAAAAAACAAAACAAAAAGCCCTTGCGTCCTCCGTCTCACTCCCCCTCTTGGCCTTGGCACACCCTGGCAGAAGGATTCCCTAATGGCTCACTCACTCCTCTCCTTTTTTACCTTGCTGCTCCTCCAGTCACAGTCTCATGCCCATCACCAAGTAAAAGAGGGAGCCAGCAAAAGGGATGTAATGAAGAGGGGAATTAGTGTAGGGTTGATCTTTACAACAATCTTCCAAAAGGTGTTTGATAACATACTATATAATTACCTTGTCAGCAGAATTGATTATAACCTGTGGTTACAAGTAAATTTACTTGACTATGGACAAAAGCAGCTGTGCAAGCATGTTTTCATATTGGAGTAAATTGTCAAGTTGCATGCAAGTGTTCAATATTGAGATTGCTGCTGTTTGATATAAATAACTTGGACATACAGGACATAATCTCAAAATGAAGGTGGCAAAGATCTTGGAGATGCAGTAGACAGTGAGAAATACAGTAGCTGACTTCAGAAAGCTATAGACATAAATTGCTTTGGATATAGCAGATTCAATTTATCATAGATATATGAAGTGAATGTTTTTAGAGGAAAAATAAGGTGTATGAATAAAATCACACGGTACAATAGCATAATGGCTATCCCACCAGAATAGCAATCCAAGATTACTAATCCAGAGACAGGAGTTTAAATTGCATCGTAACAAGTGGAGGAATTCAAATGCTGTGAATTAAATAAATCGAGAACAAAAACTAATTTTTGTAAAGGATGTCACTGTGACTATGGGATTGCTTTTTAAGTAACACATCTTATCTTATTCTCAAATACCTTTTTAGGGAAGTAAATTTGACGTTCTTCAGCTTTTTAGCCTCTATGTAACTCTAGAGTCACAACAATGTGCTGGATTCTTATGGCACTTGTCTTTAAGAAGCTAGCTTGCCACTACCTTCTTGAGCATCGTTTAGGAATTGGAAAGAAAAGTTGGCCTTGCTGATGAAGTCTACTTCCTATGAATAATTAATGAAAAAGGGATAAACTGGTATTATTCTAAAGGCACCACAGGAGCAGAAAGGCCTGGGAAGATATGTGTACACCTTTCGTGAAGATAAAACAAGTTAAGATTGTTTAAAAAGATGTAGGATCCTTTCCTTTACAGAGGCAGAATATAAAAGAAAGGAAGTTATGTATTACCTTTTTAGAAATCACTGTTAATATTCCAACTGGAGTATGGTGACCAATTGGGAGTATTTAAGATGTCAAGGCTTTACGAAGGGTTCATTGAGATTTTCTGGAATTGTACCAGGGCCATAAGCCTTCAGTTACATGGATAGATAAGCAGCACGGATCAAAGTTAACAGGAGATTTGATGTAATTGTTTAGAAATGATAGACCAGCGTGGGAGAACATTTGCAAAAGCAGTAGGGGACCCAAGAATCAGATTTAAGATGATTGACAAATGAAGCTGAGGATATGAGAATTTTTTCATCTAGTGAGTTATTCTGATACAAAATGGCAGAAACTCATTCAATAATAATTTTTCAGAAAGAAATTGAATAATTGAAGGTGGAAAAAAGTAACTGCAATCTGGGTAAAAGTTGGAGGGTGGGACTAATTGTGTGCTTGCAAAGGGTTTGTACAAATGGGTTAAATTGCAACCTCCTGTGGTTTATCCGTCTATGATTCTAAGCACCACATTTGTCCAACAGATGTGTTTAGTCAATTGTATGTCTTCGATTTGAAATTTAGAATATTGAAATATTTTCCACCTGCACCCAACAAAGTATTTTATGATTAGCATTCTGATTTAATTCATGGTGGATGTGATTTGTTTAATTACTCTGGATGTTTGGATAAATATAGTTTGTTTAGATTGTTCTGTATGCTATGCTTCATGTTTTGTTCATTTTTTTTAAAAATGAAAATTCACAGCTTCCATCATGCCATCAATAGTCAGGCCTAAAGTACACTATGCAAGACCATCACACCCGCCACCTGATCCTCCAATACTGGAAGGTGCTGTGGGAGGCACCGATGCCCGATTGCCAGCATTTGGGTCTCATATTTGTTGCCAAACTGAAGCTGAGCTGCTGAAACAGAGGCACTCCTTTCCAGAAAGGCTAGTACGCAGCAGAAGTTCTGATATTGTTTCTTCTTCTCGCCGACCAATGAGTGATCCTGGTTGGAATACTCCAGGCAGCAGAAGAACAGGGAATGAGGAACTGTTTGCAGCTGGGGCAGCACCTGTAGGAACCTCAGGACCAACTTCATCGCCAAGCAAAGACTCCCTCGTAAGACATGTTATCCACATTTGTGCATTCCTTCATATTTCAAACAGATTCATTTTAAATTAGAAATGTTCTCAATTGATGTCTTTTTTTTTTTTTACATACCTTGAATTGAATAGTTGATCCTGCAAGAATGTAAAGAAAGTTGTTTCCTAAGGCAATATACAAATGTAAATCTTTCTCAGTTGCCTTATGTTATTCGCCCAAGAAAATATTATAGGTAGAAGCCCAGTTAATGCAGTGGATACCTGAAGCTTGCAAAATGGTTTTGGTGGGTATTCCTGGGTATATGGAATAAACCCATCTTATCCTACTGAAGAGTAAGACTCATTTCTAATTTTAACACAATTATTACGCTTGAAAATAAACAGCTTGACACTTAGATCTGCAATGCAAAGCAAAATCAAGTAAATTAAAATTTTGTAATGTGCAATTTTAAATGCAACTAAGTGATTTGTTTATTAAATGAGTCTATGTGGTTATGAATCCACAAACTTGCATTTGAGAATTATGATCCATCTTGCATTCCAAATTTCAAATAATCTGTTGTTTTGCTTTATTTCTCATGTCCTGTAATACAAGCTGTGTAATCTCTTCCAAGTGTCTAAGTTGAGTTTTGCACCCTTCTGTGTAGGGGGAGGAAAGAAAGGACAGTGATGATGAGAAGTCGGATCGTAATAAATCCTGGTGGAAAAAACGATTTGTGTCTGCTATTCCGAAAGGTCAGTCTTGGGATTCTAACCATTTTTCAACAAAGGACATGAAATAAAAGACAAAATTGTTTTTTATTATTTGAGAACTGGATTAGAATTCTTTTACTTAGAATATATCAGCACCTTGAAATACAGCATCTCTTTTCTAGCTTAACTATATCTAAAACTTTCTTGTGCATTTGCCTGTGGCAGCTCAGTGCATTTTGATTTGTTTCACTCTTATCTGTGAAAATGAAAAGGCTGCTTGTATGCATTTCTTGTTTTACTGCTTGTCAACTACCTTGGCACCTTAGAAATCAACAGCCCAGGGCTTTCCCAAGAATTTTGATTTGGAACTTGCTGTATTTTGGCATTTGTAACTGTGTGTACTGACCCAAAGTCAGTAATATGCCTAATCCATTCTTTTGAGGCCCCTTCTTGGTTGTTCGAGTCCAGGTACAAAAATCTACACCATAGTACATTCTGCAGTTTTGCTTCCTTCCAAAAAAAACAAATAGTTACCATTAGCATTAGTTAAATCTTTTGTCATCTAAAACTTAAAGTTTAGAAAAAGTCTTGCACTTTTTGAATGAGATAATATTTACTAAAATAACTGTATTAACATGTATATCCAGTTGATTGTCAGGTCGAAATGCAGTTGAACATTTACTTTGGATATGGCTTAATTAGTATAGTAGTGTGGGGGGAAAAGATGTTATCTAACACAAAAACCTTATTTGCTATCAGTTTCACTTCACCACAAGGTTTTGGTTAAAGCCATGATTTTCTTCATCCTGCATGTGATGAAGTTACTTTGTTTTTGTAATACGGTATATTTTCTCTTTAGCTCCTATTTCCTTCAGGAAGAAAGATAAACAAGAAAAAGACAAAGAAGATGGTGCACAGGAAAGGTTTCAGGCCATGCAAGGTTGGCTGATCCTACCTTCCATAATCAATGGTGAATGAGGTGTACAAAGACAAATAACACCCGCATGAAACAAATATCTTAAACAAAATAAAATAAATTGCAAATTATCAGCTGTTTTTAAAGCAAGAAGTATTTACTTCAAATGCATGGAAATCACACTAACCATGTAATACAAATATGCAAACTGAATCTTTAATTTGAAAGTGCCTTGAATTTGCACTCAATTTGGTAAACCTGGTGCTAACGTAGACATCCAATCTGGAAGTTTAATTCTTATAGGACTATCACGTTTATCACGTTGATCACAACTGTCCAATTGCTCATAACCCTGTATATCATTTTAATGCCAGGGATCCAATTACAAGTATAGTAGTACGTATCTAGCCTGTGTCTCTGCTCCTTCAGTGATTTGAGTGTTTTGGTAGCTTGCCTTTCTGCTATGCTTTTCTTCTCTCTTGATTTCCCTTTATCATATGCCTAATCTTATCCAATTCCCTGTTGCATTGATTGATTGTCCTTTCACTTCTTTATCGGTGAGGCTTAATGGAATCCAATAATCAAATGGATACTTTTGTTGTTCTTTGTTATGAATGAATCTCCCAGTTTTATTTCTTAATTAAATTTGATATACTTGTGTCTACTATGGTTTTGATAAAAAGTTAAAAGCAATAAAGGTAAAGTCACAAACTGGCTATAGGCTGATCTCTCATTAAAGAGATGAGTGGTGGTTTAATTTGAGGGTCACCATGCCTCGGGCAAGGGGCGAGGTTGAGAAGGTGGGAACTTTGTGGTAATTTCAGTTAGTGTGGGAATTGAGCCCATGCTCTGGGTGCCACTGTACGTTGCAAATGAAAATAACATTTACTTTACATTGTACCAAAATGTAAGAGTGTCTGAGATGAAAATATAAAACAATCAAGACAAAGGAACAGTAAATCGGATTGAAAATTAAATCTGCTGTTCAAATTCTCAAGTTTCCAATGGCAAAAGAAATTGCAACTCTAATGATCCGTTTAGTAGCTATGGATTTTAATAGTATAAAAGATTGATCCATATATGGAAGTTACTATCTGACAGTTGCACCACAGTATGATGATTCAGATAACTGGAGAAGTACTTATTTGGGCAAGTGAATACTTGGGTATTTAATAATTCAATTATATTAAATGATAGCACTAAACATGAGATTTGAATAATTATGCTGAAATAGCTAGCTATTTAACCAACCAATACAGATTGGATAATTGGGTTCTGTAAAAATTAGTGTTTGGATAAATGGCGTTCAACCTGTGACAGGTAGATAAAGTAGTGGCAAGAATTTCTGATGATCCACTTTGTAAATTGGTCACATTTTTAGAAACAAAACGATACAAACCAAATGAGTAATGTTCAGTCCCTGATTTTCACAGCTCAGCTGAGTGATGCAGGGAATGCTGTAATTTGTATTTGCAAGTTGGGGCGTTTGGAGGATGCAGGGGAGCAAAGTTTTTGCTTTTGATGTTTCTACTGTGCCCCTTGAAGGATGATTGTGAATAAAGGAGCATGTGTCCCAGTATAATCCATTAGTAACTAATTCACTCACATTTGATAGAGGCTGACATGATACAGTAGCCATTCCACAGTGTGGCTGCACTGCAGAACTTTGTAGCATTGTTTTACACTCTATATATAGCATGTTGCTTCCATTGTTTCTAAATAATGTCGTCCTTTGTAGCTTCTTTTGTACCACATTTTCGAATTGCCTAATACTGGTTCTGGCATACCTTTCGCTCACTTCATGGAGGTTTCTGACCTGGTAGAGGATGCAGGTGAAAACCATACCAGCACACCCTCTTAAAGATCAGTGGCCTCCTCCTTCCACACAGGGCCAATTCAGGATGGTGGTTTGCTAGCTGCCACTAGTGCCTGCTGGAGAGAAGGGAGGGAATGAGTTGTGTAAAAGGGATTAAAAAGTTGTACAAATTAAGAATATGTTTGCACGGGCATTACAGGGAGGGTAGTAGAACTACACACAACTTACTGGGCTGGTTTGTCATTGATGCCTCCCGATCTCTGTGTGACTACGCTCTTTTCCGCCAAATTGACCATTTCTTCTTGAAAGGAGTGCATACCCTGCCTCCAGTTCTCAACCGTTGGCCCACTTTTATCTGAAATGAGACAAATGGAGGATGAAGTATAATTGAATAGTAGCGGTGATGCAGGGACTGAAGAAGTATAAAATGCTCCCAGTGATTGAGTAAGAAGTATGGAGGGCTGGAAGGTTTAGTGGGTTTGGAATGATGAGGTAGATGAGAGCCTTTGCATGGACATGGTGCATGCAGTACTGACAGTTGTAGTTGAAGAGCCTTGGTGAGAGATGGCAGTGTTAAAATGAATGATGGCCCCATGACTGTGGTGTAGCAGAGAGAGGATGTAGCACCTGTCTTGTGGAGTGCCTTATTGACCAACTTCCTACGCTGCTGTGCATTCTGTTTAACTTCTGACATTGTTCTAATGTGAGCCACTGTGCCCAGACTGGCTGGCACCTCCTGGTCCCTGTTTGTAGAGTGGGTAGCTCCTACTTCTAAAGTGGGCCATTTCCTTTGGTAATGGTTGAGTGCCACAGTGTGGTGGGCAGTTCCTGCATGCAGCATTTGAAATGGTGTGCAGCTGGATTTTAAATATGGCACTTGTGATATGAATGCAGAAGGTCCTGGCAATGGCAAGCACTTCTGCCTCTTGATTCGGTGTAAAGAATGACTGCCTGCCAAACAGCCTGATTGCATAATGAGGACGATTGCATGAGAAAGTTGCTCTGAGCCATAGAAGACCCCAGGAACCTTGGATCTCGCTTGACAAAACTGAATTAGGGAAGTCCAGCCCATAGTTTAAGTGATAAGAAATGTTAGTGAGAGGAACCCTCTGCTGACCAGTGTCAGCAGCAAGTGGGTAAGCACAACTGCTATTTAATGGTGATTGAAGTAGGCAAAATCTATTTTCAATCATTGGATCTGGAATTTGTATAGTATTTTGGGGTTGCAGCCTGTAATTTTGATTATTGTCCATCTATTGGTTTTGACAACAGGCCTTTTTCTTTGAATCAACTTCAATTTTTTTGAAAACCATAAATCATTGACCTTGCATTTTCTGCACACAATTTGGTTTGGAGAACTAAGGTGCAAATAGAAATTTTTAATGAGGCACATGAATGTTAGAGTTGAATACCATTTCAGGTTGAAACTCAGGCCATCTGAGCTGTGGCAGAAAATACAAGTTGATGTTTGGTTTCATTGTCAAGTGTAGCTATACTACTTCAAAAACTTTTATGGGGATAATGAGAGTTTTGAATTTTTAAATGATGTGGTATCTTGCCCAACTTTTGGATAATGAAAGGAAATTGGAGAGCAAAAAAATACATAGCAAAAAACATGCTGGAAATCTCAACTGAAAATGCTAGAAATACTCTAACTCAAGCAGAGGTATCATGGTTTTGTGAAAGGAAAATCCCGTTTGGCTAATTCTTTAGAATTCTTTGAGGAAATAACAAGCAGTATCAATAAAGGGGAAACTGTAGATGTGGTATACTTGAATTTCTAAAATGCTCCTGACAAGGTGTCACCTCAGAGGTTACTACCTAAAATAAGAGCTCGTTCTGTTTGGGATGATATATTACCATAATTAGAGGATTGGTTAGCTAATAGAAAACATGAGGCGTGGATGGCTTATTCTTGAGTTGACGAGATGTAATGACTGGGGTGTGTAGGGATCACTGTTGGAGTCTCAACTATTTACAGTCTATATCAATCACTTGGCAGGTTGAGGAGCATGTTATGTAGAGGAGTCTGCAAAAAGATAGAGTATGTGAGGAGTCAAATATTTGGCAGGTGGAATGTAATATGGACTTGTCCACTTGGCAGGAAGATGGAAAAGCTAGATTTTATTTAAATGGGGAGTAATAGAAGAACTGTCGCACAAAAATCTTGGTGTGTTGGTAAGTGAATCACAAAATTAGTACGTGCGTACAGCAAGTGATGATGCAAGCAAATGGAATGTTTGTTTATTGCAAGGGGAATTAAATATGAAGAAAGGATCACTTGCTACCATTATACAGGGTGTTGGTGAGATCACATCTGAAGTAGTGTATGTAGTTTTAGTCATTGTATTTTTTAAAAAGTTGTTGCAATAGAAGTAGTTCAGAGAAAGTTCATTTAATTGATTCACAGAACAAAGTCATTGTCTTATGAAAAAAAGTATGTTCCATAACAAGGTATCTGGCTGAAAGAAACGAGTGTTGGAATTGCCATGAATTATCTGCATATATAATATATATGTAAAATGACTTGCACAGTCTAATTGTATGCATTTGTCAATTTCAGCATTGGTAAGTCTTGATTTTCATTACATGACATTTCAGAATTCTTTTGAGATTTAAGTTCTGAGGTTTAGCAAAGGCAAATATATTGTGACTTACAAAGTAAAATAGGGTCACTAACTCCATAGGAAAAACATCTTGAAGTCGGGAAATTTGACAGACTGTTACCATAGGGTGTTAGAATAGATAACAAAATGTTGGGATATGGTATATTTAGATGTTTAATTTGGTCCAGAGACACACATCTTAGTGTCATAGCTAACCTTGGTGAGATCACATGTATAATGTGTGTGGTATTTGTTAGCCTGTTTTAAGAAATATTTTTGAGAGTACAAGGTATGATGGGGGTGTTGCCTTGGTCTAGAACTCTGAGGCAAGCTTGTGACTTCCTGTAACTTTTCTTGGAAGGTGGAAAAATTATGGTGGGTCAGGAGGGTTCTTGACTCTTGAGGGAGAATTGCAAAGTAGGGATACAGCTTAAAAAGAAAAGTTGTTCCCCCATTTAAGACAGGCGAAATTTTGAGAATGTAGAACTTTCTTCCGAGAGGCTGTTGAAGGCAAGGTGATCAACTACCTTGAGACATGGATTGACTGTTCGCTAGCTAGCAAAGGAGACCAGAGTTGAGGCCACAGTCAGATCAGCCAGGATCTAGCTTAATTGCAGAGTAGAGATATTTAAAATTTCTTGTGTTTATTTATCCCAGTTTGAACTGCCTGTACGTCTTGAGCCTTTTGTGGGTCCATGTTTGTGTCATACACCTCTGAAGTACATTTTCTAATAAAAATTTCCATTAATGCAACTTGTAATTACTGACTGATTGATTGATTACAATCTGAAGTCCATTGTAACACACATCAGTATACTTGACGTGACTTGCCCCAGCTCTTGCCCCCACCCTGGCGCTCATTTTTCCTCTGTAGGATAATGTCTGTCTGCATTTCAACTATGCACGCTCATATTTTGGACTCCGATATCCATGTTATAACAGACTTTCACTAATAGTGCTTTATCGTGAGTCTGTCAGTTGTTGTATAAGGCATGGCTCAATGTCAGAAGTAAGTGTTAATATAAGAATCAGTTTCTTCAGATTTTTAGGTTATGTTTTGATGCAGAATAAGTTCTACGTATTTTAAATCTGTAGTTTGAAGTAGCTATTCTGGATGTTACCAATTGTCACATTTTGTTTTCTTTCTGTTCCTAACTCTCTTCCCATTTATTTTGTCCCTGGGATTGTTTGTCACCAGGTCCCCTGTTAGACTGTGTAGGTTCTAGGAGAAGTAGGTCATTCTGTCCATAGGTCTGCTCCATCATTCAATTTGATCATGGCTGATCTGAGAATTCTTTTCCCTGTAACTCTTGATTCCATTACCAGTTTAAAAATCTATCTCTCAGCTTTGAATATAAATAGCACCCCAGCCTCCAGCTCTCTGCAGTAACAAATTCCACAGATTCACTCCACTGAGAAGAAATTCCACCTCATCTGTGTTTTAAATGGATGTGACCTTACTCTGAGATTATGCCCTTTGGCCCTGGACTCTCCCACACGGGGAAATAATTTCTCAGCATCTACACTAACAAGCCTCCTAAGAATTTTGTTTCAATAAGGTCACCTTTCATTTTCAAAACTCCAGCCTAATTTACCCAATCTTCATACCCAGGACCAACATAGTGAACCTTCTGTGGACTACCTCCAATGCCAGTACATTTTGTTTTTTGGTAAGCGAGTCAAATATTGGTCTCTTAATTAGTCTTGCGTGGAATACCCTAACAAATGCCTTTTAGAAATCCAAACACTTCACGTCAACTGGTTCCCCTTTATCTATTCTTGTTATCTCTTCAAAGAATTCTAATGAATTTATCACGCACTATTTTCCTCTTCATGAAGCCATGCTGATTCTGCTTGATTGTTATATATTTTGAAATGCTCTGCTTTTATGTTCTTTAGAATAGACTAACATTTTCCCAACAGCAGATGTTAAGCTAACTGGCCTAAAAGTTACCTGTTTGTGGTCTCCTTCCTTTCACTAGCAGTTTTTGAATATCTGGGACTTTTCCAGAGTCTAAAGATTATTGTAAGATTACTACTGGTGTATCCATTATTTCTGTAGCTCCTTCCTTTTAATATCCTAGGATGCAACCCATCAGGTCCAGGTGATATATTAGCCTTTAGCCCCATTAATTTCCTTAGTACTTTATCCCTAGTGGTAGTTGCATTTTATCTTGCCTGTATGTTGATTTTCTGTTCAGAGAAGTCTTAGTGACTGGATCACTTTATTGTGATTTGTAGAGCACTGGCTTAAGGTGTGACAAACATTCAGCAACTGGAATAGAACTCACAAAATCAGGAATGTAAGAGTAATTTCATTTCATTGACAGGAAGTTGGTTTGGTTGCAGGTTTTCCTTTTCAACTAAACAGAAAAAGATCATGTAATTTCAATGATCCTGTGCAGAAGTTTCCCCTGAGTGAATAAGCACTGTCTTCCCCTCTCTGCTTACATATGGACTTCACTGGTCAGTTTGAAGCTTCTGTACACATGCATTGGAACTGCAGCTGCTTGGCCAGAGAGAGCTTGCCAAAAAGCATTGCCATGCCAGCAACAGTGAGGCCAGTACACTCATCTGCAGTGAACCGGTCAGGCACGGGCCCATTGCTGTGGAACTACCCACTTTAGAAACACCGCAGAGACTACAACATTGGGTGTGTTGCTGCACTGTTGAGTGGAGTTAAATACAATGTCAACTTCTTATGCCAACTGACGTTACATTCTGTGAACTGCACTTAACTGTTGCATGGGAAACCAAAGTAAGTAAGCTGTTCTAGTGCTGGCTTATTTTGCTAATAAGCCAAATTAACAGTTTAGAAGAGAAGGAAGAATGCTGTTATGCAGACTACTGCACATGTCCCATTAACAAAAAAATAAATTTTGGACGTTCAGAGCTGCTTTTTTTGGATAACTGAAATAATGTGACAGGATTAAGAACTTTAAAAATCAGTTTAAAAAAGCTCATGTTTCTGTTAAATCTAGAAGTGTGTTCTGGAAATTTGTATCAAATTGTATATAATTGTGCCCCAATGACATGCTAATTTCTTCCCTGCCATTCTCCACAAAAACAAAATTAGGCTTAAACTGCCTTCTGGAAAATTTTTGAGTATGTGTTGTGATGTAGTTGAACAGAACAATGATGTTAAATTTTGAAGCAATTGAAGAATGGTCATTGTAATGCAACTCAGATTTATGCTGTTGGAATAACTAGTCATAAAATAATTTTGATTTTGATTGTTACTAAAATATAGTTCAATGTTTTATTAGAAAAGCAATTTATACATTGGATAGTTTGTGTATCTTATGAACAAAATTTGAAAGATTACAAAAATGGAGCTTAACAGGAAAAAAGTATATTGTTAGTTAAGTTTAAAAGAAAGGTATTAATGTTTAATTTAATCCTGTAATCAAGAAGCTATAAGTAGCTGGTGTTGCATGTTTCAGGACAAAGAATTAGACACTTAGAAAGAATTGAGATTAACCATTTAAAATCAGTATTTCAAATTAATGCACTTGTATGGTTTTTTGTGTTCTTTAACATATTTCGTGGAAACGGCTCATGTGGAGAAGTTTCCCATGTCCGCTAGTTACAAACCAAGTCACTTGAATAAGCACAGAAAAAAATTTGCAAGCCTCCATGGAAAAGATAGGCAAGTGGCTAAATTGTTCTTGCTGAGCAATAAAACACAGTGGATTGAATGGCTTCCTTTTGCTGTGACCATCTTTGTGATTCTAAAAATCAATACAACAGAAATACTGGCAAGACAATATCTGATTGTGGCAAAGGCTGCATTTTCATTATCCATTCGCAGATTTTTAACCTGTTTTAAGTTGTGATTGAAGAAGTTAGGAGAGGCAATTATAAAATGCATAAAGGTTAGATTTCATAAAGTTGAGGTGTTTGAAGTTATAAAAGGTATTGGATGGGATACATGAAAATTTAAATAAAGTATATTTTTGAAAAGCCTGAAAATAAAGTTGGTATCAATAAAGTTTCTCTACAATTAAAAGCTTCGCCTGTCACATGACTGTACGTCTATATGCTGTGCAACACACTGGTTTACATTATATATCTGCTGAATCATAACCACTCTTGCTTTCCTTTTTTTAAACCTTTATCCTTAAAAACAAATACCATATCTTTGGAAACTTCCCAATGAATTGAAATATAAAAAATGTGTCTCAAAGTAGCATGCCTAATTCTTGGGGGAAAAACAATTCAAAGCATTGATCTTTTGTGATCATGTTGATTTTTCTTCCATGAACTCCACCAATGACTGTAACAACTACAGAGCAAAACAAATCTCAAATCTTTCCTATCCTCATTTTTCGGTATCTCTGCATAAGTCTTATTTCACCTCTTTCAGGGACACTTGCTTGCTTTCTGCTGTACCCCTGGAGCTTTGATGCTTGAGCTGTGCATTGGATTGTAATATTTTCTGTATTTACATATCCATGTGATGTGGAAGCTCATGCTCCCCGCTCTCTTTTTGCTGCTCATTGGCACATGTATGATGGCCATATTTCCTTAGTTTCTGTGCATGTAAAATCATGTTTTTCCCTAGATTGCCTGTGAGCAAAGTCACAGGTGATCATCTAGAATGCTTTCAAATTTAAGTAAAGGTGTGATCAATCCTACATGTTGTTCCATAAAATGTAATCACTTAAGAACTAACCAATTAGAATTTTTAATGAAAAGTTTTCAGAAAAAAGTGGCCTGAATTTTCAGGCTTTAACTGACCATTAGGTACAGTCATTACCTGTACCAAATCAACAAATAAATATTTGATTAGGTTCTAATTGTCTTGAAAAATAGTTTGACTGCACTGTACATTATTAATTGTTCTGTACTATTATTGAAACTTGCTCATATTTAGGAGTCCAGTTCAGGAGAGTAAAAATATGAACCTTCAATACTTTCACTTATTGTGTTTTCATCAGGGAGGCATAAAAGAAGTCAATTTGATTTTGTTTTTAAAGTATAGCATTTATACATTAGAGATGTGTGTAAACATGTAGTAGTTATACCAGATTTAATAAATAGTGATGAATAATTTTTTTAGTGATCAGAATTGCTTGTTAACATTTCTGTGTGTTACCAGATGAGCCAATTCCCAGGCTGAATGTACAGGCGCAGGCTGCAGAGGATATCCTGGATAAATATAGAAGTGCAATTAAACGAGCTAGCCCCAGTGAAGTAGTTGTCAATGATGAAGTTGCAGGTAGGTCTGTTACTGTTATGTTTGGTCTGGAAAATGTCATTTGATTTAATCTGCCATTGCTGAAGCACAAGTATTCATTATTTGCCTGTGTCAGCAAGATGGTGTTTGCAATAACATCTCTGCATTTAAATACCTTTTAAAAGTTGAATCATTCAGTTGTGCCAATGGATTACATGAAAAATGGACTGGTTTTCATGTCATTGTGGAGGGAGTCCAGGTATTCCTGCAAATTTACAGAAAATGTCTCCAGGAAACTAGGAACTGAAATGCACTCGACCATATTGTCAGACCCTGTCTTGATATAATTTTACGACCAATAAAAATTCGAGCAAGTAACAGTTTCAAGAAAGTGGCTGGATCAGCTGTTCTGCAACTTTAAAATCAGACTCAACATAGAACCACAATTTAGATGATTGATTTATCTTGTGTTTCAACAAGAATTAAAATATTTGTGAACTTGCTGAAAGGTGGCCACACTATTGAGGTAGTAAGACTGGATTTTAATGTATAAAAATAACTAAACTTGCCAGCTCTCCTCTGGTTTAATTTGTGAAAACAGAGGCTAACATAGTTTTATTGGCTAGTGAGGTTGCTGAATCTGTTAATCTATACTGTTAGTCACAGTTGGTGTAACAACAGGGGTGACAAAATTAGTTTTAGTGCCTTGAGGTTTATCAACAGATAAAAATTGACTGAAGTTCCTGTTGCAGCCCATGCCAAAAGTGTACATGCATCGACACTGTATGACGACAGGGTTAGGCTCAGTTTTGATATCCTCACAAATGATTTAACACTCCAGCATTCACTGGTTGTTTGAAGAATAGCAATGACCATGAAATTTTATATCTAGGAGCCACCTGCTTCTCGCATTTGGGAATGGAGAAAATTTCCATACAATGGGGAGGGGAAAATTAGTGGTGTTTGAAATGTGATTTCAGGGCACTCCTTTCAGATTTGTCTCATCACAATTCATGATTAGCTACTTTTGTGAATGACAATGCAGATTGTGAGCACTTGTCTGTAAATTGTTCTATTGCAATCCTGTACAGTCATCAAGATGCTAATGTAAAATCCTAAAAGAAGTAAAACCTGAATTATTATATGCAGTATTAATTCTGTTTGTAGTTCTATACTTTACCTCCCCATCTATTGAGTAACCTCCAAAACTTAGTTGTGTTATAGTTTTATTTAAAAATGTTTCCAAAATGTTTGCTTTTGTATAGAGACTGTTGGAGATGATAGTGTCCATAATTCGCCACGTGATGAAACGCTTCAAAACCTTTCAGCAGATGATCTGCCAGATTCTGCTAGTCAGACTGCCCAGACTCAAGACTCCACATTCTCCTTTCGGTAACATTTATTTTAGCCTGCATCAACAGCTAGCAGCAATATGGTTGTTGGGATGAACCTGTTTGTTCTGTATGAACTTGCAGACTGCTGTCATTCTTTGCTTCTCCTTACTGAGGAAGTAAGCCACCTTGACCTATGGGTCTTAAATTAAATCCTTGGACTGCTTCTAGGTATATCACTTGTGTCATTAAGATCAGGAACTTGATGGAATGATCAACTGCAATGTGCTATGTCAAATTTCAGCTGATTGTATCAAATAACATGTTGTTCACATTTAGTTTTGAATATTTAAATTTAGCCATCATTAATTGTTCATGCCATATTTACTGGTAATAAGCAATTAAAACTTTTTGCATTTTATGAGAAGTGCTTTGTTTCAGTTTTTTTACTGCATTAACAGCATGCTAAAGCCTGCATTTTATCTTTCCAATTAGAGATGCAAAGAAGAAATTGCGAATGGCTCTGTGCTCTGCTGACTCAATTGCATTCCCCCTAGTGAGCCATTCAGCAACCAGAAATGGCCCTCCTGGAGGACCTGATCAAGGAGAATTAGAAGGTAACTTTAATATTTATTGTTTGATGTAATTTTTCAGCCTTTAGACCTGAAAAGATCTCTGGCAACAAAGTAAAGGTATACTAAATAAAAACAAAGAACTGCTGATGCTGTAAATCAGAGACAAAAATAGAAAATGCTGGAAAAGCGCAGCAAGTCTGGCAGCATCTGTGGAGAGTAGTCAGAGTTAATGTTTTGGATCGAGTCCAAAACACGAATTCTGATTTCTGTCCACAGTTGCCACCAGACTTGCTGAACTTTTCCAGCATTTCCTATTTTTCTCAAGTATTAACATACATTAAATCAATCATTTCTATTTGAGGATAATTAAATAATTGCATGGTGTTTCATTTTTAACCACAGAAGCACATCCAGGTTTAGCTATTGTGATATGAATCCTGGCGTGTGAAATTTTCCTTTGTGATTTCCGTAAGGATCTTCACCTGGCATTACTTAAGCTTTGTGTTCCACCAATGTATCATTTTTCTTATTTCTCTGATCTGCAAATTGTTCAAAATTGACATTTGCATCTGATTGCCCTGCTACTTTTCGTGTGTGTGTGTGTGTGTGTGTGTGTGTGTTATACAAAACTATTATCATTAAAACACTAATTCTTGGAATTCTCTTTTCTTAGACAACGAGATTGTCTGCTTTCTCAAAGTTCAGTTAGCTGAAGCCATCAATTTGCAGGATAAGCACTTGATGGCACAGATTCAAGAAACCATGCGCTGTGTCGGCAGATTTGACAGTAGAACTTGCAACAAGTTACTAGCTGCCATTGCTGAGGATTATAGGTAAAACATGTTCACAGAATTCTTTAATGGATACTGTAAGAATTAATGCTTGGCATGGGAGTGGTTAAACCAAAAATCTGTCTGTGAAAGTGAATATAAAAGAAACTACAGCCGTTCTTTCAGGAAAAATGTCCACGGATCTGTCACTGCATTCTTGACACCCTAACAGTGATGCAAATATTGATATAGCAGAGATAAATGATCTATCATGGGTTTTGTTGGCCATTTTTCCCCAATGGAAAGGATTTGAAAAGGAAGCTACTTTTCACTGAAAACAAGGTGTTTTCACGCAAGATTGGAATGACTAATGCTTAAAATACTAATGAGCTAGTTTTGTGGTTTTCACATAGATTGTAAGTCATAATTGATTTATTAGCTTGTCTTGGTAATCAATAAATGTCTCACATCCATTATATTGGGAAGTCTCTGGTTCCTGATGCTTGAGAGGTATCTTAAAAGTCTTTCTTTGTTGCTGCACCTTGCATTTGATGTTAGTTACAGTTAATAACATAATTGCCAATGAATTGATGCTTCTGATTGGCAACATTTTTTGAATTTTAAACTATTTTATTCTCTCTGAAGAAAACGAGCTCCATATATTGCTTACTTGACACGATGTCGTCAGGGGCTCCAGACTACTCAAGCCCACCTTGAAAGACTCTTACAAAGAGTGCTCAGAGACAAAGAGGTTGCGAACAGATACTTCACTACAGTCTGTGTGAGACTATTGCTTGAAAGCAGGGAAAAGCATATTCTGGAATTTATTAAAGGTAATATACCTTCCTTTCAACGGGCCCACCAATATTAATGTAGGCTCTTTAATTTAACTGTTGTTGTGCTGTAACTTTATCCCTTGAATTAACATGCAGTTCTAACTTGATGAAATTGAAATTCATACAAGTTATATTTCCCCTCGTGATCAAGTCTGTTTATCCAGCAAATGGCTGAACTGTGCAGAGCTAGCTGGTCTCAGTTAGGGTAAAAGAGAGATTTCATAACTTAAAAGAAAGCTGTATTTACATGCATTTTTCATGACCTCTGCATTTTCCAAAACTGCTTGGCAACCAAAAAAAGTCAATTTGCACAAAACAAGATCCTATAAGAAACTATGTGAGAATTAACAGATAATCTCTCTCCCTGTAGAGAAGTAAGTATTGGCCAAGACTCTGGACATTGCACCCCTGCTTGTCTCCGAAACAGTGGAAAAAGCATTCCACTTTATAGCGTTAAGTCATGCAGATCAGAAGCATGCTCACTGAATTAGTTGCAACAAAAACAAAGTGCTGGAGAAACTTCGCAGATTTAGCAATATCTGTACAGACAGAATCAAAACTTGGGACTCGAACAAATGGTCACTGGACTCGAAATGTTAACTCTGTTTCTCTCTGTACAGATACTGCCAGACCTGCTGAGTTTCTCCAGCACTTTTGTTTTTGTTTCCGATTTCTAGCATCTGCAGTTTTTATTTCACTGAATCAGTTGATTTGAATTGTGAAAAAGTTGGGACACTATATTTGGTCTTATTGGACTAAAGAGAGAGACTAACCTTGGCTATAAATCAACCAGAATCCATGGAAAATAGCCTTTTAACTCTGTCTTATGTATGCATGAGACAAAGCTATGGAGAGCAACCACTGCCTCCAAACTGCCAGAAAAAAATGGGATCTTCCTAGGATGATGAATGAAAATGAAGAGGGAAACCATTTCAGCTTTGATAATTTCTTTCTTAAATGTTTATTTGTACACTGGTTGATTTAGCTTCACTTTGTTTATTTGCACAGATTTTCAGAATCTCACTGCAGCAGATGACAAAACTGCCTTAGTAGAAGAATTCCTGCAGTCGTTGTATGGAGTTATGGCACAAGATGTTATCTGGCAGAATGCCAGTGAAGAACAGCTCCAGGATGCACAAATGGCAATTGAGCGTAGTGTTATGAACCACATTTTCAAACTCGCCTTCTATCCCAATCAGGATGGTGATATTTTACGTGACCAGTAAGTAACAATATATAATTGTGTGTAAAATTTTAAAAATAAGAGCGCTTAAGTGAATATATCTGCAATATGAAAATGTTGCTGAGTCCCACTCAAATGTGTCTGGTAATCATATACTGATGCTCAATTATTCTGCTAGCCACAGAAGAAAAACAGTAAAATTGCTTAACAGAAGGAAATAGATGTTTTTGTTAGATGTTAACAAATTATTTTTAGTGTTACAAAACTAATAATTCATTATCTGAACTCTTCATTCATTATCGCTGAGGCACGCAGCAAGTCTGGAAACAGCTGTGGAAAGGGAAACAAAGTGAAAGGTCACAGCATTGACACTTCTCTCACGACAGATGCTGCCTGACCTGTTCAGTAATTCCTGCATTTTTTGCTGTTTCTTAGCACTGCAGTATTCGGAGATTTAATCATGATGCATGACAGTTTTGATGATGCTAGCCTGACCTTTTAACTGAAGTTTTGAAAAGAATAGTGCTTAATATTATGTTCCTAGCTGATCTAAATACTAGACGAGTTAAATCCCAGTGAAGCATGGCTTGGTAGACAATCACTTTTTTATTTTTTCAATTGGTTACCTTTGTGGTCAGTCACTGTACCTATTCACAAAATACTGCTGGTATATTTTTTGACTAAAGATCATCGAAGTTTATTACACCTGCAAAGAGGAAATACACAAGCTACTTCAGACTGTATAAGATGATGGCTCAGTGGTTAGCACTGCTGCCTCACAGCCCCAGGGATCCGGGTTTGATTCTTGTTTCCGGCGACTGTCTTGTGTAGAGTTTGTACGTTCTCCCTATGTCTTCGTGGGTTTCCTTTGGGTACTCTGGTTTCATCACATAGTCCAAAGATGTGCAGGTTAGGTGGATTGGCCATGCTAAGTTGCCTATAGTATCTAGGGATGTGTGGCTAGGTGGATTAGCCATGGGAAAGTGCAGGGTTACAGGAATAGGGTAGGGGGCTGCGTGGACTTGATGGGCCAGATGGCCTGCTTCCACACTAGGATTCTAGGATTCCATGGAGAACGAGTTGAAACAGTCTTATTACAAACATCAGAAATAAAGATGAACTCCTTTTACTCTTATTAACAATCTTGTAGATACTTGAACTTTTGTGAAGGGGAACCCTGTTTTCACGTTAAAGCTCCTCCTTCAGTTGGCATTGTTATGATGCCAGCTGATCCTACTGGACAAGTAAGATCTCGGACTGAAATCTGACTTAATAGTTTTTGAAAAATTTAACAAAATGATCACTAATTGAAACATAAACATGCAATGCTGTAGGTTTGGTTTCTAAAAATAAATATCATAAAACAAGTTTATTATGAAAAAAGATAAGAATAAATAGAATAAGCTAAGCTATTTACATATCACAATTTGCAAGATTTCAAAAACAGTAAAAATACAATATTCCATCTATCCTAAAAGCAACCTTTACAGTACTCGCTCACCAGAAATAATTCGCTTATTTTTCACATTTATTTGAGTGAATATTGCTTTCAATTCCTGGTCTTGAGAGTTTGATAACCTCTTCCTCCAGCTGAGCTTAGACTTTCTTAGTTTCAAATAACCCCTTTAGGGCTTCTAACCAAACATTTCTGGTCTGGAACTTTCAAAGTAAACCCTTTAACTAAAGTAACCTTTTTCTATCTCTTCTGAGCTAATTCCTTGTTGCAGGAGAAACTGGTTCATATATCTAACCCCAATGAGGATATCCAAACTATGGGTGTTTCAAAATTCAAACATAAGATAAATGATATTAAAATATCTATAAATCGGGCAAATTGCATTACAGCATGGCTGAACTTAATTTCTTTCTGACAAACCTCGACATTCATTTGATGCAAGCTTCTTCAGTCAGTACCTCTTTATGAAACCCTTAATCTAACTGCTAATAGCTCACCCCTTTCTAATGTGGATTCCTTAAACACCTGTTCCAAAGCTTTCTGTTTCTGGCACTTTGTCTTATTGATATTAAACCACTTAGGACTTATTTTCTCCAGCCTTGACTCACCTGGAAATTGCAAAGCTGCATACTGTTCTTGTCAGCAGCTCTCCCCGAATGATCTGTCTGTCAAAGAAAGCTGCACCTCTCGGGGTGATTCTGCCCTTCTAAAAGGACTGGTTTATTTCTGTCTCCTTGTGTCAAAGGATACCTTGTTGCTAGACAACAGTTCAGTTTACCTCTTTGCTCTTTAAAACCCTGAACTGTCCACACCAAGTTTTTTTTAAAAAACATGATTTACATGTGTGCAGATAAATTTTTCAGGCATTGCAGTACCACCTCAGAATTCCAAAATGAAACTAAGCCCTTCCCTCCTTAACCCATGCAATGTAGAAATACAAATCAAGTTAAAGCTCTTCCTGATTCTGCCCACTTTAAAACAAAATTGCCAAATAATGATATATCATGAACTTTCAGCACATTAACTGTACATAACTGATACCAGCCAGTACTCTTAATGAAACAATGGTAAAGTAAAATCTTGCAATGTGCACCACTTAATATGAATGAAATTCAGTGAAGTGATCAGCATTTGCGGTGAAAAGAAGCATTTGTTAGTCTTGCCAACAAAATAAACACTCAATCAAGCGGAGTCTGTAAAATTCACACGTAAAAGACCTGAGAGGACATGGATTTATGCAAAGATTAAATTCACAGGGATGTCACACAGCTTGGGTATTTTCTAAAAGGGAGATCGAAGGTTGAGTCAAACTACAGAAATACAGAAAAAGAGAAAGCTGAGGAAATTGCAATGGAAGGAGAAAAAATGTCATCTTTTAGTATCTTTCTAATGTATGGAAAACCAATTTTATTCATTGTCGTGGACATGATTGGACTTCAAAGCAACTAATTGTAAGTGAAGTGCTTTGATGTGATAAATTGCTGTATGTAGATATACGCAGGTTCTTTCTGTACTGTAGCTATTCTGTACTTGACAATTGAACAGCTGAAATAATATAGATTTTAGTACGCTGTTTAATATTTTTGAGTTTGAAATGTCTTAAACTAAGAAACTAACTTGGGATCATTCTAATGTGTATCCTTATAATTTCCTGTGTCCAGAATTCGTCCTCCAAACTGCTCTGTCTCTTCAATTCTTTTCCTCCTTTAGGATTGTCTTTAAAACTCACCTCTCTGGTTTAACATTACTTGTCCTTTTCTAATGTCTTTTTTGCTTTGGTGTCAGTTTTTCTGATTACAATTTTGGCAAGTACCTTAAGATATTCCCACCTTAAAGACACTACATAAATGCAAATTGTTATTGTTTGAGCCATTTAAATTACATTTAACTTTGTTAAAATCCTAACTTTCAGTTACAGTATAGTTGATCTTGTTTTTCAGGCTTTTCAATGAACACATTCAGCGTTTGTGTAAAGTTGTCAGTGCAAATCACCGAGCACTTCAAATTCCAGAGGTAATAACAATATTAAATTTCCTTAGATTACTGTATTTAACACGTTAACATTTTGCAAAATGATCTAACACATCATTTTTTAAAAGGGCCTTGAGAATAGTATCTTTAAATGCTGGTGGAAGTGTCTGTCTCTAAGCCTCATTTACAGATCTGGGTAAAATTAATATTTTACATTGGTAAAATTAAAACGGAATCTAGAAGTGCAGCTGGTGGAATGGAGTATTTTTGCTCTAATTCAGTGCACCATGGATTAGTAAAATCAAGATACCCACACAATAGGTCTTGATCTGGTTTTGGTCTCTTCAGCATCTCTGAGCAGTTGACAGATGAGCTTCAGAGATCTATGCACATTGAAGTCATGTGAGAATCAGGAACATCTGTGGTGGAGAAATCAACCATTCTTGTAGTGAACAAGATTCATTTGTTGCAGCAGAAGCAGCTCAAAGCTATTCAAGCCTGCTGTGCTGTCCCCCACACAGACTCCATACCTTGCATTCCTTGGTACTGTGATAAACCAAAAATGTGCTTATCAGCTGGATTTCTTGATGGTCAATCACAATGTTTGACTCAGTCAAAATCATGGCTGCAATTTTAGGATTTAACTGATTATTTACTAGTTCTTTCACTTTCATATCTGAAACCTAATTCTTTGTCTCTTCAACCAGTGCTTTGGACAGTGAACATTTGCTGTCGAATTTTCACCACAGCAAAAATCCATACAAGGCCCAAATGTAGTGATGAGCAGTTCAGTGTTTTCTTCTTTTAGAGATGTTTTCTTGGATTCTGAAACCGTCTCTGTTCCCTTTTTTTTTTTTTTTTTGCTGCCTGTTCTGCTCACTGCCAGCAAATAAGCATGCCCTGTTCTCAAATCTCAATTTCATTTTGATGCAACACTAGAAAGTGAGAGAGAGAGATAGCCGTGAACATCAAGGGATGGCAGTTTGAATCTTGGTCTCTGTACATTTCCATTCCCATTTCCTGCTGTCCCTGTGACTGATGAAATTTCAAACATTGAGCATAAAGCAGCTAAAACCACATGGTGGCTGTTTCATTGTGCTAAGTGATGTTGAAGTCAAGTGGACTTAATGATTGGGTGGTCTTGGAAGTCCAAACTGATTTGACACTAGACTGTGTTGTGGTATTGCCTGCTGTACTAATTTCCACTCTTGCCAATTATTTGCTCCTTAACTGTTCATTTAATAAATGCAAGCATCTCTCACCATTTGATAACAAAGAGCTAAAAGCTGGTGAAGATCTAGGTTAGGACCTTATGATTTGTCATCTTCCTCCTTTTACAGTCCTTCCACCAAAAAGTTGTCTGCTGCACCCTAATTCACTGAGATGTGATGCACATCTGTGAAAGGAGACTAACCCTGACAGTCGCTGTTACTGCCAAAATGGAGTGTAAAATCCACTGCTTTTAGTTTACACATTTAATAAAGCTTTGTCCATTATAGTTTGGTATTTCGCAGTTCTTTTGTGCAAACCTTTTGAGACTCTCTCTGGAGCTGCTGAGACATTTGCAGAATTAAGTCTGTTGAGGTATTTCTGTAAGAACATAAGAACGAGGAGCAGGAGCAGGCCATCTGGCCCCTCGAGCCTGCCCCGCCATTTAATAAGATCATGGCTGATCTTTTTGAGACTCAGCTCCACTTACCCGCCCACTCACCATAACCCTTAATTGCTTTACTGTTCAAAAATTTATCCAGCCTTGCCTTAAAAACATTCAACGAGGTAGCTTCAACCGCTTCACTGGGCAGGGAATTCCACAGATTCACAACCCTTTGGGTGAAGAAGTTCCTCCTGACCTCGGTCGTACATCTGCTTCCCTTTATTTTGAGCCGATGCCCCCTCGTCCTAGTTTCACCTGCTAGTGGAAACAACCTCCCTGCCTCCACTTTATCTATTCCCTTCATAATCTTATGTTTCTATAAGATCTCCCCTCATTCTTCTGAATTCCAATGAGTATAATCCCAGTCTACTCAGTCTCTCCTCATAATCCAACCCCCTCAACTCTGGAATCAACCGAGTGAATCTCCTCTGCACCCCTTCTAGTGCTAGTATATCTCTTCTCAAATGAGGAGACCAAAACTGTGCACAGTACTCCAGGTGTGGCCTCACCAGGACCCTATACAGCTGCAGCATAGCCTCCCTGTTTTTAAACTCCATCCCTTTAGCAATGGTAGACAAAATTCCATTTGCCTTTTTAATTACCTGCTGCACCTGCAATCCTACTTTTGGCGATTCATGCGCACCCAAGTGTCTCTGCACAGCAGCCTGCTGCAATTTTTTTACAAGAGGCAATAAGGAAACCACTTTAGTAATATTTTCTGCACTACATGTGTTTCAATCACTCACTCTGGTTTTAATCCTTCTATTAATGTGGCATTGTGTATGTGACAAATTTTTGTCTTCATTTCAGGTGTATTTGAAAGAAGCACCATGGCCATCTGCACAGTCGGAGATTCGAACAATCAATGCGTACAAGACCCCAAGAGATAAGGTTCAGTGTATCCTGCGAATGTGCTCTACCATAATGAATCTGTTAAGCCTAGCCAATGAGGACTCCGTCCCTGGGGCAGATGACTTTGTTCCTGTTCTTGTGTTTGTCCTTATCAAGGTGAGCCATCAGATGAATATCAATTTGTACAGCAATGCATTTATAATACGGTCACTCCAAATATCACCTGGAATTTTCATCTCAAAAAGCAAGCAGAGGATGCAACCTTCTGCTAACTTAATTCTTTTCTTCAAAGTTTTTGAGAAGATTTGTAGCACAGGTTGTGGATGAGGTTGTAGCCTTGCTCGCCAGCTGGTGTGTTTGATTGCAGACGTTCCATCACCCTGCTAGGTAACATCATCCGTGCACCTCCGGTGAAGCTTTGGTGTTCTGTCCTGCTTGTTGTTTACATGCTTCGGTTTTCTGGGATGGTTGGCATCACTTCAGATTCTGTTTCTCAGTGGTTTGTATATCGGATCCAGTTCATGTTTGTTGATGGAGTTCCGGTTGGAATGCCAGGCCTGCAGGAATTCTTTGGCATGTCACTGTTTGGCTTGTGCTATTATGGATGAGTTGTCCCAGTTGAATTAATGTCCTCCTTTGTCCATGTGTACTGAGACCAGTGAGAGTTGGCCGTATCTCTTGTGGCTAGTTGGTATTTGTGTATCCTTGTCGGTTTTCTTCCAGTTTGGCCCATGTAATGTTTCTCACGATCCTTGCATGGTATTCTGTATATTACGTCGTTACCTCCATGACAGACCACAACAGACTGTGCATCAGAGATGACCACAATACTACTCGGACTCCTAGGTATCAGGGTAGCCCACAAATCACCAACCATGCTATGACAGCGACTGACTAATGTAAAGGATCCCATATCCACAACTAGTAAAACCAATGTAATATACAAAATACCATGCAAGGACTGTGAGAAACATTACATAGGCCAAACTGGAAGAAAATTGACAATAAGGATACACTAACATCAACTAGCCACCAAGACAAATGACCAGTTCTCACTGGTCTCAGTACACACGGACAAAGAAGGACACAAATTTGACTTGGACAACACATTGATAATAGCACAAGCCAAACAGAGGCATGCAGTGGAATTCCTGGAGGCCTGGCATTCCAACTGGAACTCCTCCAACAAACAATAAACTGGACCTTATATACAAACAACTGACAAACAGAATCGAAAGTGATGCCAGCAAACCGAGGCATATAAATAACAAGCGTGACAGAACACCAATGCTTCACTGGAGGTGCGCTGACGATATTACCTAGCAGGGTGACGGAACGTCTGCAATCAAATGCACCGGCTCGGTAAGCAAGTGTACAACCTAATTAACACGACTTAACGTGTAAAGAGTATTGCTTTGTAATTTGCCAATTTTTGGCTAGATATATCTTTAGTGTTTTATTTTAATTTCCTTTGAATTTCCTTTCAGTGAAGATGAGCATTAGTTCCTTTAACTTTTTTTTTAGAAGTTTAACACTGGAACTGCAAATGTGAAAGCCACAAACATTTATGACCACTTTTGGGTTATAGTGGGAAAGGTGCTTTCTGTGTGGGAAAAACGTAGCTACTCAATCCATTACAACCTATACTTTGGTATAAGAATATTATCTGCCATCGGTAAGGTTGTTATTTTAATGTATATTGCAGAAGTGTCAGTGTCATTAATCCTGTGGGATTCTACAATGCAAATGACAGCTTCTTTAGGCTAATTGGTATTACTAAACCGTGCAACCTGTCTGACGGAGGTGATGTACTTATGATATAAAAGCACTTCTAATCTAATTGAAACATTGTTTTTGGTATATCTGTTTCCTATGCAGTACAAGTTAGAATATCCCTTTTGAATAAAAAGAAATATTGTTCATGGTTCCTTTTCTCCATCCTGATTTTTATATGCTTTTAATTCATCCCTTGTTTTCTATCTTTAGGCTAACCCACCCTGCCTGCTGTCCACTGTTCAGTACATCAATAATTTCTATGCCAACCGGCTCGGTGGAGAAGAATCCTATTGGTGGATGCAGTTCACAGCAGCAGTTGAATTCATTAAAACCATTGATGATCGCAAGTGATGCAGAACACCACCTGCATGGCAGACTGTTAGGAAAAGTGAAAAGATTTACGCCAACTGTTTGTGGGAGGGGAACTTGACTGAATTTTCTCCTCTTGTATAATAAATGTAGATAGTGTGGAGGCATTTCAAAAACAAAATAGATTCAGTGTGTCTTTACCCAAATTAACAATCAGATTTACTAACAGGTCTTTATATATTTCTGTCATATAAAGTCAACAGGTCAGCAATGCAAAAAGGGACCACACTTTTTCAGGTATTTCGAAAAGTTGACAGTGTACTGTAGGAAAGTGACATTATTTACTTGCGTTAACTTGATCGGCATGAGTTTTAAGCTGGGGCCTCAAACAAATGCAATGGTGATTTTTTTTTTTTGTTAAACCTTCCTTCTTTTCACAAAGCATAAATGGCAGCCAGTTCTACCTTTTTTTTTTTCAGTGAAACTAATTTTTGTTGATTGAGTGTGCCCAGGCCAAATCTATGTGCATTTGACCAATCATGCTTTCCCTGAAAGAAATTTACTGACAACATAGAGCGTGTCATAACCCAAGGTGAAGAATCCTCAACTGTAGTTTATCACTTTTATCTGAAAAAGTCACCCTCTCGCATTGCTTCGATATATTTTTGACCCATTGTTATTATTTCCAAAATTTGGATGACTTTTAGACCAGGGTATCATACCTGATTTTGCAGCCTTATCGGTGTATGTTTAAATTAAGTATTAGTATTTAACCAACTTGTTATTAAAGTGACATAGGACTGTATTTGTTTTAGTTGCTGGGGTTATCTTTACAAACATCGTCCAGAAAATAATGCTTTTTATTTGAAAGTGCTTTTACCAGGATAGCGGTTTCATTTGGATTGATAAGCAAGAGAGCGTATGTGCTGGTTCCCACATTTTGCAGTTCTTAAATTGGTTCTCTTCTCTTGTGGCAGAATTATAGATTCAGAAAAGGTGGATCTGGAATTTCTCTTTTCAGAGTAAGGAAACCAGTTTTAATAAGGAAATGCAAAGAATCGGAATATGAATACTGCTCTCCCATGATCCAAGATAAACAAGCTATAAAACAAAAGCAAATTAAGTGAAATGTTGAGCTCCCAATTTAGAAAGTTGCAGTTGAACGCCAGCCTTGACTGCCTTTTCAATTCCACTACCCTCAAGAATTTGTTCCCTGTGCATATCGGATGGGGTGCAAGCATCGTTCACGTCCTGCGGAAGCACCCTTTTCAGCAGCTGGACCACAGTTATACTAATCTCCAAGAAGAGTTTTGCAACCGTGACTTCCTTGGCTAAAACAGGAAGTGAGATCTGAGGGATATGAAAATGATGGAGGAGGAACAGGAAAGATTAATGCAGATCACATCAATATCTTACAGTAGCTGAAACTTCCAGTTGACAGCAGTGCCTTTGTCAACAGCTAAAATTTAACAGACGACATGAATGGACAGCCATATATGACTCACTTTTACATCACCTTTATGGAGCCATTTTTAATAAGCATAATCAGAAGGCACTGGGACTTGGTTTTTCCAAGAACAATTTCCAGTTTAAAATTGAAGCGAGTCAGATGTCTAGGATATACAAATGACAATATATGAGGATTTAAATTATTATATTTTAAGTTGCCTTACAAGTGGCTAACAAAATGGTAGAATTAAATAATGGCAGCTTCAATAAGTTAAGTTTCACTGAAAAGACTGATTTGCTGTGTTTTTCTTTATTAAAAAGGGAGCACTATTCTGGGTCAAGGACAGTAATTTTAATGTAAATTCACCTGACTGTTCATATATTTTTTAGAAAATAAAGTAACTTGAGAGAAGATGGTCTCCATTGTGCTGATCCAAAACCAGCCTGAAATAAACCTATCATCTTGAGTCTTTGGGCCAGCAAAGACCAACTTGGATTGCTTACCTCAGCCTGTCTATTGTTAGTTGTTGTGGGACTGTACCTGTCATTTTTCTTTATCTTGGAACCAGAGACCTAGTCCCATTTTTTAAAAAAATGGGACTATTGCAATTTGGGTTTGCAGTTGAAGATCAAGAAGGATGCTAATTCCTGCTGACCAAATAATAACTCACTAAAAGGGAGTGTGTTGGATACATCACCCGAGTAGCAAACCTCTGGGGAATTTGTGTGAAGCTGTTATATAACCAATATCTCCTCCCAAGGAAAGATTTTTTTTTAAAAGGAGTGCTTTCCCTTCATTGCCAAAGTATGACAGTCTCCTAAACCATTGTTGTAATCAGTTAAAATTTAATAATTTTCATCAAGTTAATTTATGAATTTAGAGAAACTTTGCAAAATGTATAAAAATGTTCTAACTGTGTATATAGTTGATGTGGGAGTAGGTATTTCAGTGTGTCAGCCTGGAGTAAAGGACCTTGTTCTGCCATATTGCAAAGCACAGTCCTGAGTATTCAATGTTAACTTTGAATGTGAATCTCATCATCTCAACACAACTAAGATTAATTTAACAAAATCTAGATCAAGATCACTTGACGACTGCTAACATACACTTCATTAGGGCAGTTAATGTGTCTGAAGATTTCATGGTGAGTATGGTCTACAGCGAGAAAGCCATATACCTAGGTGATTTAAAAAAAAATCTACCTGATTACAGTCGTGAGATATCTTTCATATTTGTTTTTGCTTACAAAACACGACTTTCTTCCAACCCTACAGATAATAGGTGATCACTGTTCAGAGTTGTATCCAGTTACCAAAAGTAATTTTAACTTTTTTTGTTTGGTGTGATTAAGTTTGTGTTTTAGAGTTGCTAAATGCATTGCTATTATGTACCAGGTAACAATATTAGAATACATGATCAAAAATATATTATCTCGGGCTACTGCTAATTTTGGATTATTCACTTGAGTCTGAATCCCATATACTATTGCAGTGCTCAGCCTGAAGGTTAGAAATCTGAAAAAAGGAAATAAATTACTTTTAGCTGAGAGGTATCAATGCAGTTAACATTATGTAGCTGTGGATGTTGTCTTTGATCACATGAACAACATTGTCAGACCTAAGTAATTTGCTGCAAAAATGCTTTAAGTTTGAACAATTTAAGGCAGATTCAGAAGAGTTTTTTTTTTCTAAACTTAAAGATCCTCTTGGCCACACAGCATCCTATAACATTAATGTTTCCCTAGTATCACAGACCAGTCAGTGCCTTGCAGCTCCAGAACTTCTGCATCATTGGGGCACACTTCAGAATAGTACAAAAATTGTGAATTATGATCCTTGTGGGGATGGAGGAAACATGGCTGAAAGTGTGTTCATCTCTGCTAAAAAAAACTAATTGTCTCTCTGATAATTGACTGACTCAAGAATCTGTACTTGTTTTGTAGTTGCACTTTTGAATAATATTTAATATTGTAATGAAGTTAATGTTTGAAAAATATGATTAAGTTTTCCTTACCTTTAAAAGAGTAAACTTTGATTTAGAACAAAATAAATTCTAAATGTACACAATTTGGAGTTTAGGGATTGGGGTTTATTTATTTTACAATTAGATTTTGTGAAGATGAAACTGTCAACTATTTATTTTTAACACTTTGCAAATATATTCATTTTAAATTGTCTCTTTGTTTTAAGTTTGGGGGTTTGGTCTGGTATACGTTCAAGCTTTTAATACTGCTTTCCTCTGCAGCTTGTATTTGAGTCATTGATTATATCTCTAGAGACTTTGTTTTGAAATATAGGGAGGCTGCCATTTATAAATTTTTTGAACAAGAATACAAAACTTGCAACTACTTCAGTCGTTAAAAGGTATTCTGACATGCATATAGACCCAAAAGCACATTAGTGAGGACCAAACAGCAGCAGCATACACCATCATATCCGTGATATCCTGAAGCAGCAGGAAAGAACAACAAATGCTTTACAGTTAGCACTTCAGAACATGGATGGGACTGTTATACTTAAATTAACCTAAGGTAACTTAATACTATGTTCTGTTTGTTAACTGCATCACCTGTATTACTGCCTCTTTGGAACTGTTAGAGCCTTTACAAACTTAAGTTAATGAGCTTGCACAATCTTGCACACAGGAAAAAAAAATGTATACTGTCTTTAATGAGATTAATGTAATATATCATTCTATGCTAATTAAAGGGAGCAGTTTATCCCATTTGCTTGTGTCTGCTGATTAATTTAGTTTTCTACCATATTCAATTGATTTTGATGTTAATTCTCTTTGCATGCAATATGGATGGCCTCCAAAGTGTACAACACAATTACATCTCAGGTATGAATATACTCTACCGTTTAAAATGAATCAAATTGGCTTCAAATGCGCTCAAACTGGATCCAAGCCAATAATTTAAGATTAAACTTCAGGTGTAACCTGTAAAATGTATAACTTGAGACAGAAGGTTTCAATTGTATTGTGTATTGCAACTGAACAGGAGCAGTAATGCAGTTGTTCTTGACCTAAATCAGTGCAATAAATGTAGTTTATCAAAGTAAACACATGTCCTGGCGTAGCGTGTTGTGGATTGCTAATTTTATATTTGTTGCAACATTCTCCGTGCACTTATTCCTTTTTTCAGCCAAACTGTGGAGGTGCTAAATTAAGTTAGATTATTTATCTCTAAGAAAGCCAACAAATGAATACTAACCTCTTGTTTTTGTCAACCATGTTACAACTGTCAAGATCAGAAAAGGCCAAGAGCTGTAGTCAGATGGTTAGGTTTTTCTTTTGTTGAGCATGGGGATACTTTCAGAGAAACTTGTTTGACTGGTTTACGACCTTTTCATAAACTTGTCACTTTTTCACCATTTCCTATTCTGCAGTCTTTGTACAAATAGTCATATTTGGGTTACAGTTACACGATGTATTTCAAGATTTTAGAAACGTTCTCCCATTGCCCACACATTTCTACTTGGGCTCCTAATCAGTTGTTCTAGTGTTAAATTCTGTCTTCGCTATAAATTTAGTTTTACTAAGCCAGTGAATTTTGCCAATAGTTTGGTTTGTGCATTTGTGCTAAATAAGTGTAAAGATAACCTGAGATCATGCTTCTATCTGCTCCAACTGATCCTTCTAGAAAAAGTGTATTTGATCCATAAATACTTTGTTGCAATTCCACGATTAAAAGTTACTCGACAATGTTGTGATGATATGTGCCTTTAAAAGGGATTTGCTCTGTTCTTCTTGAGGAGGATGTTGTAAACTTGTGCTGAGGTGACTGCTCTATGGAAAGCAGAGTAAGTAGCTTTGGGTTTTTTAATTAGACAAAAGAAGCATGTGAGTGGGTGAAGTCAGGCTCACGCAGACCCAGGATTTTAGTTTTGCTTTCAGTTGTTGAAGTTGGGTTTTGGAGTTGAAAGCCGCTAGATCCTGCTCTCTCTCTGCTGCTGCAAAAGCTGAAGTGCTGTTTCTGCTGCTAGATTCATTTTGTCGGTGTTCCTCCTCCTGGAGGAGACAGCAAGTCAGGCAAATCTGTGATGCTGAATTTGCCTTTGCTAAGGGTGTGTTTATGGGATTCTGCTATATTGAAACAGTTGATGAGCAGTAGTTAATTTTTTTATTCATTCACTGGATGAGAGGCTCATTGGCTAGGCCACATTTATTGCCATCCCAAATTGCCCAGATTGCAATTAAGAATCAACCACATTGTTGTGGCTCTGGAGTCACATGTAGGTCAGACCAGGTGAGGAAGGCAGATTTTCTTCCTTGAAGAACATTAGTGAACCAGATGGATTTTTCCAACAATTGTTTCATCATCATCAGTAGATTTTTAATTTGTTTTTTTTTTAAAATTGAATTAAAATTCTTCCATTTGCTATAGCAGGATTTGAATTCTGGTCCCCAGAACATTAGCTGAGTTTCTGGATTAATAGTCAAACGATAATACCACTAGGCCATCTGCTTCCCTTATTTTGATAGAGTTAATGCCACTTTTTTTTTTGTTTGTATTTTAACTGTGATATAAGAATAAAGTGTGTTTTGCTTAAAGCTTAGTAGTTTGACCAATCGAATCACATCTGGAATGCAGTGCCTTACACTTGTCTTTAAATAAGCTAAAAGTTAGGGTCTAGGCTATCTCCTTGATATGTTTTGAGGGGGTTTGGTCTGATCCATAACAGTGCTCATGAAACTTTGTTTTTCAGAGTTATCTATTGTAAAGCATTCTTAATGGATGTATTCTCGGTCTCTAAATTTCTCTTTCTCTCTCTCTGTCGTCTTTGGGGTTTAATTCCATGAAAATGCTTGAGAAACTCAGGAGGTCTAGCAGCATATGTGGAGAGAGAAACACAGTCAATGTTTTGAGTCCAGTTACTCTTCTTCAGAACATCAGATCCAAAGAAAGAAAAGTGACCTTTGTTTTCTGTCTCTACATATGCTGCTTCACCTGCTGAGTTTCTCCAATGTTTTTGGTTTTTGAAGATTTCCAGCATTTATGGAGTTTTGTTTTAGATAAATCCTTGCAAGTAGCCATATTCATGTAGAGTGGGATCTGTAGCTTGTACTCTTCACTACTGAAACACCCACAGCCCATTTGTAGCTCCTGATAGCTGCTATGATCCCAACTGATGGTAATATTGTACAATGCAGATTCCAGAGTGAAACCCTAGCTTGATTGACCTGAAGTTTGTTTTTATTTTATTTACTGCAGAGGACAGTCAAGGAACATATTCACAAGAAACTGCCAATGTGCTTGCAACAAAATAACACATGTTTATTGCAAAAAGGAAAAACACAAACTATATTACATTGTACAGACCTTTTGGAACAATCTCATTACAAATTTCAGAAAGCAAACTTCACTCCTTTTATGTCAGCAATACCCGTGCAGGCACTCAGTCTTTCTCCCCACTGTGCAAGTGGAGCAAGAAACTGCTTCATCTCTTGCTCTACTGACACATCCAAAATCAGTTTTCATGCATGAAATTTCTCTTCATTCACTCAATGCTATTTTCTTCATTCATGTTTCCCTGAGACCCTTAAAGCAGCGTGCCAAACCACGTGACAAGGGTTCTTTAAACTCATATCTTCAGCCTTCTAGAATGTCTTCCGCTGTGACGCCCACATGGACTTTTACTTGGGGAGATTTCTTCTCAGCTGTTGGCCAGAAGCTACAGGGAGAGAGAGAAAAGGTACATGCTGTTGACGTCGCTGCCTGGGGAGACATTAGCCAGAGGCTGCAGAAAGATGGAGAGAGGGGTACCAGCTGCCAACATTGCTAACAGGTGGTACTGAATGCAATGGTGCTGACATGAAGAAAGAAGCAGCTTGCAAACTAAAAATGACCTGTGCCCAGGTGCTAGTTTGAGCCAATTTAAACCGATTCGAATTAACTAAGTTCTGCAAAAAGTAAGAAAGATGAGGTAATGCAAAAGCCTTATCTGTATGAGAAGAAATGAGGTAATGCTACCCAAGTCTCTGGGCCAGGGCCAATCAGGTCAAGGCTCACGATAAGTGAATGAGCCAGAGTCAATGGGAAGACGACAGCGCGATTTGAGAGAGGTAAGTGGAAGAACAAAAAGATGACCCTTGGGGCATACAGCCAGCGAAAACTCTGGAGACCAACCATCGCAGAAGCAGACCCTACATCAAGGACATGGTGACACTGAGCACAATGCCCAGCCAGCAGCAGCTATCCTGATCGGGTATTAGCTGTTATATTCTGTGACTACTTGGGGAGTGTCAGAGGACTCGTGGAAGTATAAGTAGGTCCGAGTTCAGTTTGTGGAAAATATATAAGGTCCAGTTTAGTGATAACATTTAAGTAACGTGTCTTGTTTAATACGCTATTTTTGATTTTATTTTTACATGTACCGAAATACAGTGAAAAGCTTTGTTTACAAGCGATACAGGCAGATCACAGCAAACAAAGGATGTCCAGATCAAAGACTTAGAAGCATACAAGTTACATTTGAGGCTAGAATCCATTTAACAGTCTGATAATGGCCAGAAAGAAGCTGCTCCTGAACCTGCTTGTGCATGCGTTTGGGCTTCTGTATCCTCTGCCTGAGGGAAGGGGTTGTAGGAGGTCATTACCAGGGTCTTTGATGATGGTCACCTTTCCTTGACAGCGGGCTGTGTAAATAGAGTCCATATATGGAAAGTTGGCTTCCGTGATGGTCTGGGCTGTGCACACCATCTTCTGTAGTTTCTTACGGTCTTGGGCAGAGCAGTTGCCATACCAGGCCATTATGCATCCTGACCATATGCTTTCAATAGTGCATTTGTAGGAGTTGGTGAGTGACCTTATGGATGTGCCAAATTTGCTGAGCCACCTGAGGAAGAAGAGTTGTTGTGCCGCCTTAACTTCCCATGTAAATGTGACAATCCAGGACAGGTCGTCGATTATCGTCACTTAGGAACTTAATGCTCTTCACACACTCAACCTCAGTTCCATTGATGTCAATGGGGGCATGTTCTCCTTTCTTTCTGAAGTCTATCAGTTCTTTTGTTTTGCTGATGTTGAGAGACAGATTTGTTTTTGTTACACCACGTCACCAAGCCTTCTATATCCCTTTTGTATTTTGACTCGTTAGATATCCATCCCACTGCAGTGGTGTCGTCAGCGAACTTGTAGATGGCGTTCGTTTGGAATTTGGCAACACAGTCGTAGGTGTACAGGGAGTACAGTAGGTGACTGAGGACAAGTCCTTGGAGGGCTCCAGTGTTGAGTGTTATTGTGGAGGAGGTGTAGTAACCTATCCTCACTGTGACCTATGCGTCAGAAAGCTGAGGATCCGTTTGCAGAAGGCAGAGCCGAGACCAAGGTCACGCAGTTTTGAGATCAGTATGAAGGGGATAATGGTGTTGAAGGTTGAGCTGTAGTCCATGAACAGGAGTCTGATGTAGGTGGTGTTGTTGTCCACATGTTCCAGGGATGAGAGTAGGGTTCGGGATATGGCGTCCTCTGTAGACCTGTTATTGTTGGTCAGCAAACTGTAGGGGATTGAAGCAGGTTGGGAGCCTGGAGTTGATTTGGGCCATGACCAGCCTCTTGAAGCACTTCATAATTACTGAAGGCAGAGCTATTGGGCGGTAGTCATTAAAGCACACTGCATGTGTTTTCTCAGGTATGGGGATGATGACGGTCTTCTTGAAGCAGGTGAGGATCTGTAATTTGTGAGAATATGAGAATTGACTCTTCTCTGTACAAGTGAATAACCAGAGCTTGTTCCCCAGGCTCTCAACAACACAGCACTTCTCACCAGACCTGACTGCTTGGAGATTGCTATCAATAGCAGCTCTGCTGTTGCTGACCTTTTGTCTCTGCATGAAGCTGCTTCCTCCACTCCCTATCCTCAAATGAGGTTGTGAAACTCAAACTAGCAAGCACCTTGACCATTATGTCCTGAGGTGATTTGCTGGTCATTTGGCTGAAATCTCATAACTTCTTGGAAATGTTGTTTTGAACTCCATGTCCAAAATGTTCACAACTGCAACTAAAATCTTTCACTTCTCTATTTTCGAACTCAACTTCTCAAATAATGTATTATGAATCT